AATTAATAAGTAGAAAGTAATACCGAGTAATTGTAAAAGTATTAAAATAGGAAATAAAACCCACATAAACAAGCAGGTCCTCAGTTTGTGTGAGCCTAAAGGGGTTCTAAGATCAAAAAGTTTGAGAAGCTTTTTGGGGGGATGGCAAGCCATTGTTTGATTGTTTCCCCATCAGGCTTCAAAGCTGTGATTTCTTCTCCATCTGACATAAGTATTTAAAATATGTTATCTTGGGACTGCATATAGTTAATGACAGTGTCTGATTTAAAAGGTTTTTTCTTTGTTTTGTTTAGGCAATACTTATTGTTGTTACAGTTGCCTTTGTTCAGGTGAGTGAGTAATCTATTTTGCCAATGTAAAAATGATGTTAGTTATAAAATTAAAGACGCTTATGGTAATATTTATAGTTGTTGATGGTGAAAGTTCCTGTCCAACAGTTTACTTTTTGTATTTGAAGTAATTCAGATATAAAGAACTCTTCAAGGAAGTTCATGAGACTAAGGTATTTCTTTGGTATAGGTAGTGAGATGAAAAAAATCTGCTTTTTAATTTGGTAGTCTTAAGAATGGTTAAAGCAGTTGGGAGCAAAAGAGCACAGTAATATAAATACAATCCAGCAATAATTTAAAACAATTTTCTAATTAAAAAATCAGGCCAGGGTTTATGGTTTTATAATACTCTTATGTTTCAGTATCTAATAAAGACTAGATGAAGCAAAGAGTGCAGAATTAAATGGTCAACTTCTCAAGTATCATCTGAAGAAAATTTAGTGGATTTCTGTGATTGATTCCTTGAGCACAGTTTTTCCCTTTTATTTACTGAATTTATTTTCTAATCTTATTTTATTTGAACTTTTTTTGATAATTAAAATGCTTCTAAAACAGTTGGTGACCCCCCTCCCCCACACTTTAATATTCCATTCTTCAAGGGATGTTCTGATTTGGATCAGACCTCTTACTCTGCATAGCCATTGAAACATTAAAGAAATATGAGAAGCAGCTAAAAAACTATTATGAATAATGTAGAGATGATACCAGAATTTCTATTAAAAAGTATAGGCATAAACAGAAATGTAGGTTTGATTTTATGTTTGCTTAAATGTCTTCAGGTTTTGTAGATTTTAGAATAACATTTCCGACTCTTGATAATTCTCAGTTTTAACTAATATAGGGTAAATAAGAGTAGAATATTTACGTAATACTGTTTATCATCATGAAGTGAATGTTGTTTTGATTCCTAATGCTATATTTTGAGTGATTGTGATTATCTTCACATCTACAGTTTATTCCCTGGGTATATTCCCTGTCACTGTCTCAGTCTCTTAGACAGTCTGTAACAGTAAATTATTTGTTTTATAATATCTTAGTATAGAGAGTTAGTTGGAATCAGATTATTTGCAAGTTTTTGAACTTCATTAGGCCATTCTTTTGGGGGAGAATCTTCTTGCTTAGAATACATGTATGTTGCTTTGGGGCAGGTGAAGTTGGCTAGTCTAGCTTAGGTTATTCCAGTCTAGGTATCATTCAGGGCAACTATTCATTTGGCCAAGTGAGAGATATGACCCATTGTGCCAGTAAATGAAACTTCTTGCATCTTTAATAATGTGTTGGATGTATGAAATGCCCTTCTTCAGAAGAATTCCTACAAATATTACCACTCTATAATAGAAGACCTTTTGTCTTCTTTGGAAATAAAAAGCCCCTATCCTCAAAATATCCTGCAAAATTGCAGTTGTAACATAGTTGGTATGGAATTTTACAAAGAGATATTCTGTTATTTACTTTAAATGCAGTGGCTAAAACTGCTAAGTATTCTATGATGGGTTCATTTGATAGAAATCTCAAAAAAAAGCCAATCAAAATCCCAATGGCATTTCTTGTAGAAATAGATAAAGCAATCATGAAATTCATATGGAAAAATAAAAGACCCAGAATAGCAAAAGCAGGAAGTGTGAATCAGGCGGTATAGCGATACCAGATTTCAAACTATACTACAGAGCAATAGTGACAAAAACAGCATGGTACTGGTACCAAAACAGGCGGGTGGACCAATGGTATAGAATAGAGGACACAGAGACTAATCCACAAAGTTACAACTATCTTATATTTGATAAAGGGGCTAAGCATGCAATGGAGGAAGGATAGCATCTTCAACAAATGGTGTTGGGAAAACTGGAAATCCATATGCAACAAAATGAAACTGAATCCCTTTCTCTCGCCATGCACAAAAGTTAACTCAAAATGGATCAAGGAGCTTGATATTAAATCAGAGACTCTGCGTCTGATAGAAGAAAAAGTTGGCTCCGATCTACATATTGTGGGCTCGGGCTCCAAATTCCTTAATAGGACACCCATAGCACAAGAGTTAATAACAAGAATCAACAAATGGGACTTACTTAAACTAAAAAGTTTTTTCTCAGCAAGAGAAACAATAAGAGAGGTAAATAGGGAGCCTACATCCTGGGAACAAATTTTTACTCCTCACACTTCAGATAGAGCCCTAATATCCAGAGTATACAAAGAACTCAAAAAATTAGACAATAAGATAACAAATAACCCAATCAACAAATGGGCCAAGGACCTGAACAGACTCTTCTCAGAGGAGGACATACAATCAATCAACAAGTACATGAAAAAATGCTCACCATCTCTAGCAGTCAGAGAAATGCAAATCAAAACCACCCTAAGATACCAACTCACTCCAGTAAGATTGGCAGCCACTATGAAGTCAAACAACAACAAGTGCTGGCGAGGGTGTGGAGAAAAGGGTACACTTGTACATTGCTGGTGGGACTGCAAATTGGTGCGGCCAATATGGAAAGCAGTATGGAGATTCCTGGGAAAGCTGGGAATGGAACCACCATTTGACCCTGCTATTGCCCTTCTCAGACTATTCCCTGAAGACCTTAAAAGAGCATGCTACAGGGATTCTGCCACATCGATGTTCATAGCAGCACAATTCACAATAGGTGGACTGTGGAACCAACCCAGATGCCCTTCAATAGATGAATGGATTAAAAAAAGTGGCATTTATACACCATGGAATATTACGCAGCACTTAAAAATGACAAAATCATGGAATTTGCAGGGAAATGGATGGCACTAGAGCAGATTATGCTTAGTGAAGCTAGCCAATCCCTAAAGAACAAATACCAAATGTCTTCTTTGATATAATGAGAACAACTATGAACAGAGCAGGGAGGAAGAGCAGGAAGAAAAGATTAACATTAAACAGAGACATGAGATGGGAAGGAAAGGGAGAGAAAAGGGAAATTGCATGGAAATGAAGGGAGACCCTCAGTGCTATACAAAATTACATATAAGAGGTTGTGAGGGGAAGGGAAAATAAACAAGGAGAGAAATGAATTACAGTAGATGGGGTAGAGAGAGAAGATGTGAGGGAAGAGGAGGGGGGATAGTAGGGGATAGGAAAGGTAGCAGAATACAACAATTACTAATAGGGCATTATGTAAAATTGTGGATGTGTAACTGACGTGATTCTGCAATCTGCATTTGGGGTAAAAAAGAAATCTCAAAAAAAGGACAAAACATTATAAAAAGCCCAGTTTCAAATTATTAGGTCTAGTTTCTTACATACATGTAACTCGTTTCCCCTAAACATCTTTGAACCCAACAAAAAATTCTGTATTCAGAAATTGAAAGAACTTTCTCACAAGATATTTTTATATTCAGTCGAACCAACCATAATGCTTTGTCAGAAAACTCCTTTCAAAAATGTATCACAAAACAATGTTTTATCACTTTAGTACTTTTAATCTGTGCTTAGGATAAGAGTGCTTTTTATATTCTTTTTGTATATTTGCTTACCCTTCTATCTCTTTCTAATCCCACCTCCCTACACTATTTTATTCCTTCTTGGCCATACAAATGACTTAATTGTTTTTTATGGTCATTATAATGATACTGTCTTTATATAACTTTGAAAAGACAAATAAAGATTGGTAGTGTCTGTGTGATTTATTACTGGGATTTAGGATTGGTGAGTGTTTTCTGGCCTTTTGTGGAATTTTTGGTTAAAACTTTAAAATTCTTTACCATCCTTTGTGTATGGGGTTGGGATTTGTAATTTTCATACAGCTTTGCATTTTCATTTTAAGTGTGTGATGAATGTGAAATTATGGCTAGTACCAGCACTGTAGCCATTTCAAAATATTCCTCACCTTTCATTCCTGCTATTATCTCTCTGCCTTTTAACCTTAGGTCAAAAGGTTGGTGTGCTTAGTGCAGACAAGAGCCCAAAAGTAACAGGGATGTTTCATGAAGCAAGAGTACTAACGGAAGGGCTGTGGTTGTAGCTCAGTGGTAGAGTGCTTGCCTAGCACGTGTGAGACACTGGGTTCCATTCTCAGCATCACATAAAAATAAATAAATAAAACGAAGGTAGAGTGTCTGTCTACAACTAAAAAAAAAGTACTAATGAAAACATGGACTAATTACTAGTCCCTTTCATATGATTAAAGGAGTTGGGAAGAGAGTCCATCATTTTGGGGTCAGTTACATCTCACTCCTTGTTTATCCTCTGTTTTTTGTAAACAAAACTTTTTCTTTAAACCACTGCAGGTAGCATATGCATCTGTTAATGGTACATATAGATAATCATTTGTGATTTCTTCGGTCATTGCATACCAAGTGTAAAATTATCTTAATTATAAGCGTCACTGATCTTAACTTTTTAATGATTCTTTGGACATACAAATCAGTTTTCAGTTTCTTCTAAATAACAAATAACCTTAGGTTTACACCCTGAATATTAAAATGTAAAATTGGCAGTAGTTAATTATCAGAATTGTTTGATTGGTATAATGTTAATATGGGACATTTTTAAAGAATATAAGCACAAGTCAAGTAAAAGATAAGAATTGGGAGAAATTTTAAATAAACGGTTGAGATATTTAAGTCTGGATGGGATATGCTTATAGGTACATACATATTTGCATTTCTTTATAAGCATTTTTATGAATATTAAGTCCTGCTTTTTTTTTCTTTACATAGGAATATCGTTCAGAAAAATCTCTTGAAGAATTGAGTAAACTTGTGCCACCAGAATGCCACTGGTATGATCCTTTTTTTCTGAAAGAGATTTCCACCCCTTTAAGAATAGAAATTGAGTGTGACTAGTACAATATCCTTTGCAGCCCCAGCTTTGACTAAACATAAGGAAGAAATGATTAATCTGACATGAAAAATTCTTGTTTTGATCAATATAGCAAAATTGCACTGTTTAAAGTTCTAATTTTGATATTCTTGAAACATAGCTTTATTCAACAGTTTATTGTATGTGCTGCTGAGCACTGTTCTGAGCAGGGTAATGAAATAGATCCACATGATTTAAGAAGGTTTCTTTGATTTTCATGTTTTACCCTTAAACGACTAGTCAGTTTTCCCAATGATTTTTCTATCATTTGAGGTTTTTTATTAATAAGAGCACACAAACATCAGTGGCTTGGCTTTTTTTTTCCTCTAAAAACCATGGTAATTTTTCTGTTTCATGTTACAGTGTGCGTGAAGGAAAATTAGAGCATACACTTGCCCGAGACTTGGTTCCAGGTGATACGGTTTGCCTTTCTGTTGGGGACAGAGTTCCTGCTGATTTACGCTTGTTTGAGGTAAGTTTGAGGATGTGTTTATGAGAAGTGAAAATAGTGGGTGTCAAAGGATAAAAATTAGCATTTTTAAGGATTAATACATTATTGTTTTCAAAAACTTGGTGTTCAAGTTTAAATAGTGGCAAAGTAAACATTTTTTCCCCTTAAAATATATCTGTCTCTCATACATTCTTTTGAGGTATGCATAAGCATATATTTATGAAAACCTGTGTTTTAGGCACTCTGGGAGACAAAAAGAGATGATAGGACTTTTGTAATTATGGAGTATACTATATGTGTATGCAAATTACTTATTATAAAATAAGATAGAATTTAGTAATTAAGAAAAGTTCATTTTTCTCATTTAGTTGAAAAGAACGCCTCAGACAACAACATGGCTTTGGCAGTGACAAAAAGAGTAGTACTGAACAGAGAGAAGATAGTGGAGCAGCTGTATTCAGATCTTTGTGTTTACCTAGCATATGAATATACCATGGAGGTTGTTATCTCCACGGTCTTTGTAACTTTTTGCTCCCTTTGCCTGAAATGCTTTCTCCCCCTCATGACCCTCACCTTTGGAGTCCTCATGTCTGTCTGGGCTCAGCAGAAGGGTTACCTTCTTTTGAGGAGTGTTCTCTTTTATCTGAAATGTTGCTCTGTGCGTATTATACTTGTGTTTTTTTCCTACTTGATAGTATAGATTTATGCTTGTTTATTTTTAGAAACATTTTCCCGTTAGAATAATAGCTGAGGATAAGAACTTTGTTTAATGCTGATTCTCCTACTATATTTGATACCACAGGGTACATTGTAAGCACTAATAAATGTTAGTTGAATGAATGAATGAATGGCATTGATTAAATCAGACCTGTTTTGTTACCGAGATGGGAGGAAGGAGAATCTGAACCAATTTTTTATAATTATTTAAGACTTAAGTTTTTAAATGCTTATTAAAAAGTGAATATTTCTTCATATATTATAGCCAAGCTTTATATATGTAGCTAAGCTAGTGGCTGCCTCCCTCCTGCTCTATGTGCTTTTTTCCTCCCCCCACAAAAAGAGAAAGAAGAGGGAAAATTTGAATAGTAAGAATTCTGTATGAGAATATGAGCTTACCTAGAATAACAGTGAGAATGCCAGTAATTCAGTTGCTCGAGGTTCATTTCTTTAGTTTCCTTTCCAGAATTTAGTCCAGTGTGTAGAAAGATAATATAGTTAAGTATTTGTTGGGTAAGTGAATTAGCCTGCACAATTGTTAAAATCATGAACTAGCTCTTCGTTTCCCCCGAAGTGTCCTTTAGACCCTTGAATAAGAGCTTCTGACATAAAGTTCATTCTCAAACATGCATTAGAATGGAGGGTTTGTAAGTAGTCTGTTAGGTTTACTTTCATCACCCTTGGTTTAAGGTACAATTGCATTAATAAGCTCTCAGGTGGTAAAAATGATACTGGTTCTACTGCTCTTGCTGAGAACTTCTGCTATATTCCCCATGAGCTGAATCTTTCTAGTTTATTGAGAGTTTTGAGATATACTATATTAGGGGAAACTGTTTAACTTTTAACTAATTATTTGCAAAACTAACTTACTCTCAGTATCCTCCCTTATATGTATGTATCTACCTATCTACTAGATTACACATAATGCTTGTTATAACATGTTTGGAAGATATTCTTCTGTGGTCCATACTTTTAGAAACATAGTCCATATCTGCAGCACTTTCTATACATAAAATGATGATTATTTGTGTGCTTGGGTAGGTGAATATTTTATTAAGAGTGAAACCCTCAGAATTGGACTGTGTTGCAGAGTGGGAAGATACATTCTCATATTCATGATCTGCATGGAAATATTTATGAACATTTTTTGTTCTTATATAATTTAATTTGAAATAATATAGGAAAGTATAGCAAGAAGAATTTTAAGAAAATAGAGTGCTAAGTGATGAAATGATTGTCTCAGTGCCTTTTTAAAAAACCTTTATTCATATACCTCTTTTTATCATGATTGGCTTTAATCTGCCAAACAAGTTTTCAGAACTTTAGGGCATGATTAAACTAGGTAATGATGTTTTGTCATGAAAGTTGGGTTTTCTCTAGAAAGAGAATCTCAGCTGTGGTCTCTGTTTCTCTCATGGTATTTTTAAGTTTAGGCTAACCTAGTCTTATGGTAGAGCATTCAACTTCGTATGTCTCAAGTTTTATTGACCTCATTTAAAAAGTATGATTGGTTTTGGTCTTTTTGTTGTAGAGTAATGGTTAATGACACAAGATGAAGGTAATCCATGGAACTGGGATATTTAAGGAAGAAGTAATGGTTACAAACTCTTAAGATGTTAAATGAGAACAAACTTGAATTTATGGAATGTTTTGTTTTCTAAGGCTGTGGATCTTTCCATTGATGAGTCTAGCTTGACAGGAGAGACAACACCTTGTTCTAAGGTGACAGCTCCTCAGCCAGCTGCAACTAATGGAGATCTTGCATCAAGAAGTAACATTGCCTTCATGGGAACGCTGGTCAGATGTGGCAAAGCAAAGGTAGTTTTCTTGTTTTTTTTTTTCCCCCCTAAACAGTTCCTTTGTTTTTACCATTTTCTTAATTCTTTTCTGCTAATTTCATGTGTATTTGTTTTTAAAATAGCAAAGAGAAAGTATATTGACTCTAACCCTTGTCAGCTATTTGTGAGATTGAAGAGAAGCTATGCCCCTGAAATGCAAATATATGAAATATATCCATAGTTTTGCCATCTGTTAGATCATAGGCCTTATCTGTTCCTTTTTGTTTTGTTTCTGTAGTTCTGGGGATTGAACCCCACAGGCCGTATAGACCCTTTTTTGTTTTTATTTTTACATAGGGTCTCACTCATTTGCCCAGGCTGGCCTCAAACTTGTAATCTTCCTGCCTTAGCCTCACAAATTACTAGGATATTATAGGAGTATTTTCCGTTCATGGCATATCTGTTCCTTTTTATAGATAAATAGTGGTTTCATGGTTATGTTCATTACTAGTTAAAAAATTTTTTAATTTAGTTAATATGGCTATAATGTTCTGACTACATAGTGTTCACCTAATTACTGATCAATGTCAACTATTTTGCTCTCTGGATTCTAGTACTGCATGAATATAAAAGGTACCATTGAGTAGCATAGGAGGGGAAATAAGAAATTACCATTAAGTGTCTTGAGTATAAGACAGATTTGAATTTTATAAATATTAATATACATAAAAGGGGGTCATAATTGAGTCAGTAATAAGTTTAATGAAACGTTTATTTACAAGGTTTGTGTTATAATGGGTAAATACTAATGATGATGACATAAAAAATTTGCTAAGGGAGCTCTTGGATGTGTTTTCAAGTCTATGGATAGTCTTTGAAGAATGGGACTAAAAGTTTTTTTTTTTTTGTATGTTTTGGATGAGAGAAATGATTATATCTGAATGCAAATGAATTTTTCTGCTTTTCCTGTTAGGGTATTGTTATCGGAACAGGAGAAAATTCTGAATTTGGAGAAGTTTTTAAAATGATGCAAGCAGAAGAAGTGAGTACTTAATATGTTGATGATGCATTTGTTTCAATTCTGAAATATTTGATCATTAAGTAGAGGAAATGAGAATATTGGTGGATTCTTGTGTATACTACTGAAAGCAATATTTTGTTATCACTCAGATGTCTTTGTTTAGAAACATAATTTGGAAGCTTATAATAAGTAGGTCCTAAATTTACAATGTCAGTATTCCAAAAGATTTGATCTTTATTCATTATTTATAGTAGAATGAGGTTTATAGTCATAATTTTTTTTAATAGATAATGCTCTTTGTAGAAATTGGCTTTACTATGTCAATTTTAAAGACTACTGTTTTTTTTATCTGGTGCTGGGAATTAAACTCAGGGCATCACATGTGCTAAGTATGTGCTGTACCTTTGGATTACTAATTATTATGTTATTGTGTACCTCAGAACATAGCTTCTATTAAAATTTCTATCTACATAATTCCAGGTTTGGGGTGGCAGGAGAATTGCCAAATAAAGGAACATAGAAGATATTTTTGATGAAAAGTATTAAAGATGCATTTTCTCTTTTAAAATGCTTTTTATGTATAAAAAAGGGAGTTGTGTTCTGTAAATGTCTTATTCTTCCAAAATCTGGATTTCTCAAGTAACTTGTAAGACTCAATTTGTGATACATTGTAGAAATCCATTCCAAGGAAGTTAGCAATCAGGGATCCTACAGGATAAAAAATCTGGGATGTTTGTTGATATAGGAAGGAGAAAAATTGGAAGTGTAAGGGAGCTAGCTGATGGTAATAAAGTCCTGGAGAAACATGTAGGAGAGAGAGAGAAGTTTTTTCCTCAGTGGGAAGCATAGAGAGTGGATCTTTTAAATTAAATAGGGTTTTAAAAATCAGGAGTTTTTCCATTTCTTACTGTGTGACCTTGAGTATCATTTAAAATCTTAAGCTTCAGTTTCTTTAGTTAAGGTGGTAATATTTAGCTTATGGGGGAGTTCTGAGGTTATTTTTTTGAAATGGGTATGTCAATCCCTTAGCAGAGTTCCTAGCACCTGGTAAAGTATATTAAATTTAGCTAATTATAGTGATACTCTCTAATTTGTCAAGGCACCAAAAACCCCTCTGCAGAAGAGCATGGATCTCTTAGGAAAACAACTTTCCTTTTATTCCTTTGGTATAATAGGTAAGAGAAGAGTGAGTATGTATATATTTTATTTTTACTCGGGCTTGCTTTTCTGAGTGTGAAGGGTAGAGTTGTTATAGTCATATTTATTTGCTTTCTTTAATATTTTTTTTAAAAAATTATAAAACCAACCCTGAACCATTGTCTTTTTCTACAGAAAACAAATGGGAGGGAGGAATGAACTCTGTAATTTCTCTAATCAGCATTTCTGTAAATATTTTAGTATTACTGTGATAGCATTATTTTATGGACAGGGCTTTTTTGTTTAACCTATCCTGTCATAAACATCTTGTCATCAAATGGATGGTTCATCTAAAACAAATTTGAAAGGTGGCATAATGTTTGATTTTGTGAATTTATCAAACATCTTTTTAGACATTTCTTTAGGTTTTTAATTTTTTAACATACACTTATAATTCTTAAGTGCCGATACTTCATTATAAATAACTCTTGTTTCTTTAGGACACATGTTTAGAAGTAAAGTTATTAATTCAAGAGTATCCATGTAATTTTAAAGCTTTTTGTCAACTTTGACTTTTGTCATTAACTTCACAGGTGAAAAAAAATACTTTATTTTGTAGTTCATTATTAAAGAAACTGTATACTTTGTCAGATGTCTGTTGAGTCCTTTTATTTAAGTCCTTTTGTTTGCAAGGCATTTCTTTTGTCCTGTCTTATGGCTTGAGTTAGATTGGTAGCAGCTTTTTATATAAGTAGGATATCAATTATTTTCTTGCTTAAGTTTCAGTATTTTTTCCCCTAATCTTAAAATTGCTTTGGAGTGATAGATAATCTACTTGGTAGAAGGGAGATATAATTGAAACATTCTTTTCCTGAGTCTTTTAGCACCCTTTTATTGATGATTTCTGCATTAATGGTTTCTGCTGTTTTTCTGTTCGTAAGGACTTGCTAACTCCATGTTTATAAGAATGTTTATAAACAGTGTTTTATTATAGTTTTTCTCTTGTTTATTTATGACCTTGCTAGGGTTGGAACCCAGAGCCTTGCACATGCTAGAAAAATGCTTTACCTTTGAGCTACTCTTTATAGTTTGTATCCCCTTTATAGTTTTAATTTTTGATACTTAATTTACTGTTTTATTTAAAATTTATTTTAAAATTATAAAGCTGATGGAAGAGGTAAAAATTTTTTACTCAAGTTAATTTTTCTAGTACCATTAATTTTATAATCCATTCTTTATTCAATAACTATATTTTGTTTATGTATTATTTTTATTTTTATGTGGTACTGTGGATCAAACCTAGTGCTTCACACATGCGAGATAAGCACTCTACCACAAGCCACAACCCCAGCCTTCAAATGACATTCTTATAATACATTGAATACGTGTATTAATTTTAGAGTCTCATTTTTTTTTACTTTTCTACCTTTTTAATATTATAGCTATCTTAGTGTTTTAAAGTCAATAGTGCAATTTAAAGCAATATTCATGTTATATAATTTCAGTTATAATTCTTTATTAATGCTGTTTTTCTGTCTTTATATTCATACACATTTATGATAATCTGTTGTAATCTTAAACATAATGTAGAAAGCTTTTGTGTTCAACTGGTGTGTGCTTATAGCTACTTTCATTTGATGATTGCTACTTACAGAAATTTAATGGCCTATTTGATAAGTTGAAGAATGTTCTAGCTAATTTTCAGTTTGTATTAACACTGTGCCATAAAACCATCTCAAATTTACTGATAAATATGCTTCACCCTAAGATTATCTGATTTTATATGGGGATAAAACAGTTGGGCCTAATTTTTCTTGTCAGGGTAATCTTTGGAATAGGATGAAGTCAGGATGTAGATTGTGGTCAAGATATAGATTGTGAAGGACTAGATGATAAACGTTTTAGACTTGTGGTCCATATGGTCTCTGTCAGATATACTTAACTTTGCCATCAGCTTGAAAACAACCGTAGATAGTAGGAAATAAAGGGACATGATTGTGTTCCAATAAACTGTTTACAAACACAGGTAGGAGGCCCACAGATTATAGCTTTCTGACTCCTAATATAATTCTTTTGGATGTAATTTCTTTTACCGGGGTAGTATTTAGGTTAGGATCTTAGAGGGCCACTTTCTAGATATTATAGTTATAAAAAGATATGAAAAAAACTAGTTTTAAATTTCAGTATTCAAATAGAATACAATCTTAAACTAGTTATTTTGTTAAATATCCATCCCATTTTCCTCAAAAACCTGGTGGTGTACCCTATTTTTTTTTAAAGATAAAAAGTGAAAGCAGAAAGTATGGTTTATGTTTATTGTCTTACTCATCTTTTAACTTGAAAGTAACAACTTTTAAATGTTAAAATGTGTTAATTGTCCTAAGTGAGCCAGGTCCTAAGTCTCCTTTCAGTATAAATCTTAATGTTTGTACAAACTTTAATGTGTGAGGTCTGGATACTAAGTTCTGAAAAGTAAAAGTACAACATTTATTTTTGCAAAGTTGATAATAAATAGAAGAACTATGTGTTTTATAGGTCTGCCTTTTTTTTCCTATGGTATAAAAATTATGGTAATATTTTATTGAACCATCAGTTATTACTCAAGGGATGGATGGGAGCAGTGGTAACCAGAGGTAAAACATGCACAGTATTAGATTTTTTTTTTTTTTAAGAGAGAGTGAGAGAGGGGGGAGAGAGAGAGAGAGAGAGAGAGAGAGAGAGAGAGAGAGAGAGAGAGAGAGAGAGAAAATTTTAATATTTATTTTTTAGTTCTCGGCAGACACAACATCTTTGTTGGTATGTGGTGCTGAGGATCGAACCCGGGCCGCACGCATGCCAAGCGAGCGCGCTACCGCTTGAGCCACATCCCCAGCCCACAGTATTAGATTTAAGCAGTGTTAACTTTAAACTGCTCTGCTTAATGGATTTGTAAAACCTTGTAATTGTGATCTGATATATTTTCCATTTCATATGAATGAACCTTTTAAATATCCTCAGCTTGTTATTCTATCCCTTCTAGGTGATTCTATAGAAAAGGGAAAAATAGCTATCTAATTTTGTTCCAGGTATCATCATGTTGGTTGGCTGGTTGCTAGGAAAAGATATCTTGGAAATGTTTACAATTAGTGTAAGGTAAGTTCTAATACTTTGTTTGTACGTGAAACTTCTTGTTGCCTACCTTCTCTGGTAGAGATATCTTACATATTTCATTGTGTAGGTCAGTACTATATGGATCCCAGAAGAGTATAATATCTATGTTTAAATAGTTCAAAACCCATATATTGAAATGATATCTGGGAAAGTGAAAACCTACATATTTGGCACTGGAGAAAATTAGTATTAGATGTCTAGAATTATTAACCCCCTATTGCATTTTCATATATAAATAGATAAGGATTGCCAAATAGAAAACTAGCAGCATGAAAGATAAAGAATACAATATAGTGTATATATGCCACATTGTTTTAATCCATTTATATATTGAAGGGCATCTAGGTTGGTTCCACAGTTTAGCTATTGTGAATTGTGCTGCTATAAACATTGATGTGGCTGTGTTCCTATAGTATACTGTTTTTAAGTCCTTTAGCTGGGTCAAATGGTGGTTCTATTCTCAATTTTGCAAGAAATCTCCATACTGCTTTCTATATTGGCTGCACCAATTTGCAGTCCCACCAGCAGTGTATGAGTGTACCTTTTTCCCCACACCCTCGCCAGCACTTACTGTTCATAATAGCTGCCATTCTGACTGGAGTGAAATGACATCTTAGAGTAGTTTTGATTTGCATTTCTCTAATTACTAGCAATGATGAACATTTTTTTCATATATTTGTTGATTGACTTTATATCATCTTCTGAGAAGTATCTGTTAAAAGAGAATAAAATCATGGCATTTGCAGGGAAATGGATGGAGTTAGAGAAGATAATGCTAAGTGAAGTTAGCCAATCCCAAAAAACCAAATGCTGAATGTTTTCTCTGATATAAGGAGGCTGATTCATAGTGGGAGGGGGATCATGGGAGGAATAGATGAACTCTAGATAGGGCAGAAGGGTGGGGGAGGGGAAAGGAGGGGTATGGCTTTAGAAATGATGGTGGAATGTGATGGACATTATTATCCAAAGTAGGAAGACATGAATTAGTGTGAATATACTTTGTATACAACCAGAGATATGAAAAATTGTGCTCTATATGTGTAATAAGAATTGTAATGCATTCTGCTGTCATATAGAAAAAAATTAAGAAAGTATTGATGAGATAACAGGAAAAAAGAGAACACAATATAGAAATTAAGGGAAAAGAACTCAAGGAATAGAAGGTGAATTTAAAAATAAAGTATCTATTTTCAGAGGTTTGTTGCATTCATGATAAAGCAATAGAGTATTGTATATAAGGATCAGAAAACAAGAAGTTTTTAATATTAAGATTATGATTGCCAATATTAAAAATTCTATTGTAATACCATAGTATGAGGTTGAAGAGGTCTCTCAAAAGATTGAATAAAAGGGCTAAAAGAGATAAAAGTGACAAAGTATTGGGGCTGGGGATGTGGCTCAAGTGGTAGCGCCCTCGCCTGGCATGCATGCGGCCCGGGTTCGATCCTCAGCACCACATAAAAACAAAGATGTTGTGTCCGCCGAAAACTAAAAAATAAATATTAAAAATAAAAAAAATAAAAGTGACAAAGAAAAATAATTTTAAGAAATACTTCTTCAATAGCAGTTTCAAAAAGGTAAGGGGAAATTATATATGAAGGAATACAAGAATATTTTCTCAAGCTAAAGCAAAAAGCAAGTCTTCATGCATTGAAAGGATTTGCCAAGCACAATGAAAATAATTCTAACCTACATATATCATGGTGAAACTAAGGAAAACAAATTAGGTCATCTGCAAAGAAAGTATAATTAGATGTCACTAGACTTCTCTTTAGCAATCAGAATTTCCATGACAAAGCCTTTCTAGGTTCTACTTAAACATTTTGACTCATAACACTTTCACAGACCACATCTGGTACCTGTGCCCCGAATACGCAGGTTTAAGTTCAGACACCCCTCTTCTGAGAGTTCTTACAGCAGTACATGCAGCATTTCACTCAAGCACACAGAGATGAAGGCAGTCTTGTGAGTGCAGGAACTACACTGGGTTAAAATGAGCCTTGTGTCCCACAGGAGCCAACATTTGCTTAAAAACTTTCCAGGGTTCCCTGCGCATGTGTGGTTACAAGAGTCACTTGTTCTTGATAAATGGAAAGCTAGAGCTTCCTGTAAATAGTTATGATTCTCCTAGTCCAGGAACAGTTTATCAGTTAGAGGATCCCTTTATTACAAGTGGTGTGGCCTATCAGTGTACCTGACCTACTACCTTATCAGGTTACTAAGGGGAACAGAATTAGAGAGTTAATTTTATTAACTCTTCCATCTATAGAAATATCAGATTACATTAGACAACAACAGAACACTGATATGAAGGTTTAAGGGAAAATGATTATAAATCTGTAAGTTGAAGAGACAATTCAGTTAATACAAATAAGGAAGCAACTATTTAGAATATTTGCTTCTTACCTTATACTGATATAAATTCCAGCAAAATTAAGGTTGAAAGAAAAGATGATGATGTGTAGATAAGAAAGGATAGAACTGATCTCACCTGGACATCTTAAGGAGAAGGAAAACAAATCCTCCATGTTGTGTCTGTAGTGAGCCTAGGAAGTAAAAATTCAAACATTAGAACAAAATCAGTGTATTGCAGGGCCAGGGTTGTGGCTCAGTGATAGAGCGCTTGCCTAGAATGCATAAGGCAGTGGGTTCCATCCTCGGCACCATATAAAAATAAAAACAAATAGAATAAAGGTATTGTGTCCACCTACAGCTAAAAAAAAAAAATACTTAAAAAATACTTTAAAAATCAATGTATTTGAAAAGGAAAAATTGAATATATTACAAGACTGGATAAGATGAATAAGAAGTAAAAATATATTTGTGATACAGTGGAAACTTTTATGTTTTAATTTTTTCTCAAAAGAACTAAAATGCAGTGTGAAAATCTTGGGATCAAATCCACTTGCCTCATGCATGCTAGGCAAGCACTCTACCACTGAGCCCTGATATACATTGATTTTGTTCTAATATTTGAATTTTCACTTCCTAGAATCTGTATAAAATAAAAAGCCATGAGACAAAGATGAAATAAATTAAAAATGGGGCATGAATTTGAGACATTAACCATTGGCATGTGATTGGACCCACTTTTAATTATTGAGGATTTTTTTGAGCATTTCTGTTTGTAAAGATGGACCTACTGTGACTTTTTATTTTTTCTTCAAGATCTTCTAGAGTACAAAAAAATTAACTATTTTTTAATAGAACAAAATTCATTCTATTTTGCAATTATTATATTGGGTCCTTTGGACTCTTATAAAGTTAAGATCCATTATGATATTTTTTTTGTGCGGGGAAGGGTACCTGGGATTAACCTCAGGGGCACTCAACTACTGAGCCACCTCTCCAGCCCTGTTTTGTATTTTATTGAGAGACAGGGTCTCACTGAGTTGCGGAGAGTGCCTTGATTTTGCTGAGGCTGTCTTTGAACTCAATGTCCTCCTACCTCAGCCTCCTGAGCTGCTGGGATTACAGGCATGCACCACAGTGTGCAGCCACATTATGATATCTTTAGTTATCTAATTTTTTCTATTTCTTGAAACATTTGATATTTTGTCATCCTAAAAATTATTTTAATAATTATTTCCAAATGTGTTAAAAATTACTAAAACAGTAAGAAAGCAGATGATGGAATGGCCTGGAAAACTGATGTAATAATAAAAGTAAATCATCACTATCGTATTTTCCTTTATTTTTTTTTTATTATGTTGCTCAGGATTTCATTTAAATAGGTATAAAAGAAATCTGGAGACAGTCTTTGTAGTTTTTTTATTGTAGCAGTCAGTCAGCAAACCTGAGAATTCAATAGTTTTTCACTTTCTCTCTGATAAATAGAATCAACAGAAAAGACTATATAGTTATTAGACAAATCAGAAGATTAATGCTGAGAGCTAGGTAAAAAGCTCTGAAAGCTATAGTGAAATAGGTAAAATTAATCATTTAATTGAAATCTCAAGAGTATGAGTTATTAGATAATGAAAAGTTTTCTTACACTTGTGGATTGATAAGGAAACCTTCTAAGGACAAAAAGAAACATGTTTTAGTTACTCTACAGTAAGGATTTTCTCAGGCAGTGTTTTTCTGCAAGAATCTGGATCATCCTTCTTTGCTAAAAGAATATATAATGGTATCCTTTCATCTTTCATGGTACTTATGTCATGCTTTTTACATATAAGTGGAGAAATGCTAATTAGTGGTATGAATATAAAGGTGATTAAAAGGAAATAAGCAGAAATGGAAAAATTCATTTAGGTGCTTTTAGATCTAAAATTGGAAATGTTTTGTATGTATGAAGCAAGGTATCTGTCCTCTTTTCTGCAAAGTGCCATCAGCATTTTCAGAAGTGCTGCTTTTTTAAAAATTAATATTTTCTTTAGTTGTAGGTGGACACAATAGATTTATTTTATTTACTTTTATATGATGCTGAGGATCAAATCCAGTGCCTCACAGGTGCTAGGCAGGTGCTCTACTACTGAGCTACAACGCCAGCCCCAGAAGTGTTACTTTTTGATAGAACAGACGCAAAAAGAAGAACCAGGATATGCTAGAACCTGTTAGAACGCTTTTTTGAAATCTGAAATCAGTATTATAAGATCAATATGTTCCAGGTTTATGAATGATAGTTGATGAGTATTTTGCTACATCCAAAGGATGTTGCCCATTTTTTATATATATATATATATATATATATATGAAATACACACACACACAGACACACATACATATGTATGTATTTGCACATATACATTCAAATCCAGGGTAATTTTGGATTAAAATGAAACTGAAAATTTCTAATGTGACTTTTTTTTAAATCTCTTTATTCCTCTATAAATTATTTATAAAATGACAAATTTTAAAGGGTTTTTTGGATGTAGATTATAAATCATGACGGCCTCTTTTCCTGACTTAATGAAGATAGGTGGAAGTATTAAGAGAAGTGGATTCCATTTGAGCTAGAAAATTCTTAAAGAGTATTCCAAAGGAGAGAAGGAAGTATTAATGTAATTTTGCAGTGTATGCTTTTAGGTAATCACTGTGTAAATGTTCTTTACTTTTAGCCTTTAGAATCTATCTGTAAACAAAACATAGAAAGGTTAATTATGGCTCAGAACAAGTTGTTAATAATATTAAATTAGATCGTACTGAAGGAAAAGTAGATATTATAAATCGGTGTAGAAGCATAAGAGGAAATAGCCATAGAATGAAGGATAGGAGTATTTTTGTACTTGGGGTGGCACAATGAAATATGGAACTTGTTTTGTTAGGTAATAGAAGGAAATAGTGAATTAAAAAATTGTGATAAAGTGTACATGCCATAAAATATTTCATTTTAAAGTGTACAGTTCATTGGAGTTAAGAATATTCAGTGTTTTATGATCACCACTGCTATCTAGTTTCAGAACTTTGTCAACACCCCAAAAGAAAACCGTGTGCCTCACCAGCCTACAGTCCCTAGCAACTACTTTGTCTCTATGGATTTTCGTATACTAAATATTTCATATGAATGGAATTACATAATATGTGGCCTTTGTGTGTCTCACTTGCTTTACTTAACATGTTTTCAGTGATTACCCATGTTATAGATTAGTATTTTATTTCTTTTTATGGCTGAATGATACATTCATCAGTTGATGGACATTTGGCTCATTTCTATCTTTTGGTCATTGTGAATAATGCTATAAACATTCATATGATTTTTTTTTTAAGTGCTGAATGTTGAACCCAGAGCTTAGCATATACTAGGCAAGCACTCTGTCTCTGAACTACATTTCTCACCTCACAAGTTTTTGATCTTGTTTAATGTCTATTCTTTATATTTTATAGAATACATAGGTGTATTAATAAATAGCCAGTAGTCCAGGGTCTCACAAGTAAAAGTCGGTGAATCCAGGGATGCCAAACAAGGCAATTTGATGTCAGAATCTATATTTTTTAACCATTGTGCTTAACCTAGAAGCTAGTAAGTGTCCAGGAAATTGACTTTCCTTTCCTTTTTGAGAAGTCTGTTTTGGGCAATTGACAGAATTAACTTTGATATTTTAAGTAATTTCCAATTCAAATTATTGTTGTACTGATTAACTTGCATCTTAATACTTTGTATATATTGATTATAGTTTGGCTGTAGCAGCAATTCCTGAAGGTCTTCCTATTGTGGTCACAGTGACATTAGCCCTAGGTGTTATGAGAATGGTGAAAAAACGGGCCATTGTGAAAAAACTGCCTATTGTTGAAACTCTGGGTAAGTCTGTTGTTAAAAGCATTCTTATGCAGTGATGTGTTTGTTCATATCAACAGTGAATCATGTTTGGGTTTTAGTTTTTGTCTTAGCAGTTTGCACGGTGATGTTTGACTTGAGTACTGTTTCATATGGTATTAGAAATCTTTTGCATTGTTGAATGTTCTAATGCTTGAATCATGGTGAAAAATCAATAGCAAATTAAACAGTGAAATTAATAGAATTTTTTCTTTTGACATCTCTCAGAAAATAATTGATAATTACAGATTCCAAAGTGTCATACTTGAGTTGAATTTGCTTATAAGAACAGTAAGTATATAATAGTTATATATTCGTCTAATATAACTTTATTCATGATATGCTGTGAAATTTAAAAAAATACTTAGGTTGTCCAAAATTATATTAAATTTAATTTCTAATTTGCATTTTAATGTTGAGAAAGTAAAATACTTCAAAAAATTTCTACTGAAGAAATGATGTGGATATATATTTAGGAACCCTCCAATCCTTCTAGAAAGTGTATTATATACAATCATAGCATATTGTAGAAACTAAATAAGAGAAGGTGAACATCTAATTATTTTTAATTTCAGAAAATTTACCCTATGGTGAGAAATTAATTTAAAATTATGAATGAGTTGATCTGTATAAAATTTAGAGACTAGGACAGTGTTCCAGAGTTTGATTTATTTTATAAGTCAACCTGTATTTTCCCCTCATTCTTTTGGTAACACATAATGATTTGTTCTCTAGGCTGCTGTAATGTGATTTGTTCAGATAAAACTGGAACACTGACGAAGAATGAAATGACTGTTACTCACATATTTACTTCAGAGGGTCTGCATGCTGAGGTATTCTATTTTTTTTTTTTTTTTTAAGAAACAATAGCAGACCTTTGTTAAGAAGCTTGGTATTTAACATTTCTGACAATTCTAATGTTTTAGCATCAGAAGATCTATTAACTTAGCAGCAGAGTTATTTCCTTCCCATGTAACTCTACTACTAGGTCTTTGTCTCACTTGGATACTTGTTCAGTTCAGAAACTTTAATTTCTCCTTGGTACTCCTTTTAATCATCTGTCAGCCAATCCTGTCAATTTGCACTTCAATAACTTTCCTAACCATTTATTTTGTAGTTAGCTTCCCTAGTTTCAGATGGCCTTCTGATAAAGCCTCTCTACTAGTCTTTCTGTATCCATTGATGCATTTACTCTCTGAAGTTCAAGGGATTGTTTCAGAGTTGAAATTTGAACATGTCACTCCCTAAATTAAAATACTTCAGTAGTTTTTCATTGTGTTCAAAATCCTGATATCAAGGCCTTATATGATCTTTTCTTTTTCTCTCTCCAGCCATATATGCTGCCTGTTTTGGTTGCTATACAGCAAACATACGGTTTTACAGTTCTTCCCAATGTCTCAAAATTCCTCCTAGGACCTTAGTGGCTGTCCTTACTTCTTCAGATAGTCTGATGTCTTTTCATCCTTTGCACCTAAATTCAGCCTCACTTTTTCAGAAGAGCTTTGTAGACCACCCACAGCTGCCCTATGTTATGTGTTTATTTAGCATTCCATATCTCATTAGCCTTTATCTCAGGTGAAATTTACTGTCTGTTTTCCGGATATGCTATGAGTAAAAGAACAGGAACTCTGTTGACTAGCATAGGACCTATATTATAATAATAAATACTTGAATGGGTGAATGAGTAATAACGTTTTAAAAAATTGTATATTGATAATTTCAAGTGCACATCTTTGTGGTGGTTCTTGTGGAAACTGGTTGAAAACAAGTTCCTTTTGTTCTCAGTCTTGGCAAGATTTTCAACTTAATAGGGGTACGGTATTTTAAAATATATTTGCAGCTACTTTATTTAATAGGGGTACAGTATTTTAAAATATATTTGCAGCTACTTTATTTAATAGGGGTACAGTATTTTAAAATATATTTGCAGCTACTTTACTGAGCAAAGTAAGCATTAGACAGATTGACAAAGTTGGATTTATTTAGGTCCATTTTACATAAAATGAAACTATTGTTATTTAGTGTGTGAAATATGATCAAGGTTACCCAAAGCTATGTTGGTGAATCTTCCTTCTTTAAGTTTTCTTTAGGTCTTCTTTTCCTTTTTTAAATCTATGATTTTTGTATTTCCAGCATTAAGCATTTGTTAATTATTTTCTCTCTAAACTGTATTATTTTTAATATAATATTTAGATATTTTGGTTTGATGGATTCTAGCCATATAGAATTAAGTATCTGCCTTGTTTCATTTGTTTTTAAAATTGGTATGTTATGGATTACATTAAATAGTTTTTATAAGTACTAGCATAAATTTCTTAATGTCTCTGAGCCTGAATAATTATGAAAAGAATTTAGCTTTTATTTCGGTCATAGTGTCAGGTGTTAGATGTGGTAATGGATTTGAGTTCTTTGCAAATTATAAGTGTAGCATTACATAACTTTAAGCTTATTTATCTGTAGAGTTTTTCATGTTTTACCCATACTTTTTTGAGGGGGTAGGGTACCAGGGATTGAACTCAGGAGCACTTGACCACTGAGCCATATTGCCAGTCCTATTTTGTATTTTATTTAGAAACAGAGTCTCATGAGTTGCTTAGCAGCTCGCCTTTACTGAGACTGGCTTTGAAATTGCCAGCCTCATGCCCAGCTTACCCATACTTTTTATATTATAAGCAGAAGACAGAATCCTTTTAGGTTAATCATTGTGAAAATTAGAATCTATTCTTTTAACTATTACATGTTCTTCAGACCAATTTTTATTGCTTTTCTTAGGTTTATGCTTCAACCACATAAAAATGAACGTAGCTCAGGATAATTTTTGGTTTTCATAAGTGTTGTCACTACTGTTTGTATTATTGATTCCACTTTATTTTCCTTAGGTTACTGGAGTTGGCTATAATCAGTTTGGGGAAGTAATTGTTGATGGTGATGTTGTTCATGGATTCTATAATCCAGCTGTTAGCAGAATTGTTGAGGTAAATAGTTTATTCCAAGAAGGTATCTTTCTTTATTATAACTTAAAGACACAATGATGCATTCATAGTTTGTATGTATCTCACAGGCGGGCTGTGTGTGCAATGATGCTGTAATTAGGAACAACACTCTAATGGGAAAACCAACAGAAGGAGCCTTGATTGCTCTTGCAATGAAGGTATGTACCTGATTTCTTTTCTTTTTTTTAATATTTTTTTTCTATTTGCTGGCAGATCTTTATTTTATTCATATATTTATATGTGGTGCTGAGAATCAAACCCAGTGCCTAACACATGGCCGGCAAGTACTCTACCGATGAGCCACAATCCCAGTCCTGTACCTAATTCCTTTGACACATGAAGCATTACTCTCACAACAAAATGAGAGGCCATTGATTTAGGTATTAACTGGGTTTTAGATATTAAGTGAAGAAGACTGATAGTATTTCATTATTTTTGCTGTCTTTTGGGAACCAATTTTTTTTGTAGAAATATAGATCATAGAGCTATTTCAGAATAGCCTCATTTATTTTTATTTTTTTTAATTTGTTCTTTTTAGATATATATGACTATATAGAGTGTATTTTGGCTTATTATACATATGTGGAGTATAACTTCCCATGCTTGTGGTTGTACATCATATGGAGATGTACTAATTGTATATTCCTATATGAATGTAGGAAATTAATGCCTGATTCATTCTACTCTTTCCTGTTCTCTTCCCTCTCCCTACCTTAATTTCATTTTGAACTCTGTCCTTCCCCTCCCCCATTATTGTGTGTTAGCATCTGAATTTCAGAGAGAACATTTGATCTTTAGTTTTGGGGGATTCAGCCTCATTCCTTATATGCCAGGTACAAATAATGACCAGTGATGAATTTTTTTTTTTTAATGAAGAATTGTTCCTCTCTTCCATAATACTGAGATCTATGTTTGAAAAGCTTTATAACTATTTCTAATTGCTGAGAAATATTAACTTTTGAATGAGAAAAAGGCAATATTCTGAAGTGTTTTCATGTAAAGATGTTATGTAATTACGAGAATCAGCTTTTCTTTTCCCAGTATTCACTTTTCCTCCTTTATCAATTTCTTAAAATGAGTGTCTCATTAAAATTGTGGAGAGGAGTGATGTACTCAGTGACCTTTTGTCTGTCCCAATTTATTTAATATCCTAAGTCTTAGATTTGTTTCAGTGAGGAAACCTAAAATTCCATTTTGCTATTTTCCTAAGAAAAATAACTGCTTCTACTTGTAAGAATAGTTTGCAAAAACTTTTGAGAGTTGTATGAAGTTGGATGCTTCTTAATAAGGTTACTGGAAATGAGAGCCTATAGAGAATTGTGGGTTATTTTAACATTTTATTGATAAATTGATAGTTTTAGAACATATGTATTCTCTATAGAAAACTACTTTTCTTTGTCATTTGATCTCCTTGTAACTAAGAAGCATAGAATAACTGTTTTAAAAATATCAAAAAAGTGATGTCCTGTGTTACACTTTACAAGATATTAGCTTCTTGGAGATACGAAAAACCACTTCCTTATGGTCAGAGGCCTCACAAGTTAGGTAGGGAGTATAACTGATGTTCTTGGAATAAAAGGCAGACCAAGAAAATTAAATCCAAAACATTGAGCCACATTTAAGAATATTGCCGATTCATATCTGAGAGTTGAGCTTTAAAGGATAGGAAGGGGTTAAATGAAGGAAGCTAGGAAAGAGCTAGAATGAAAGCATAGAGGAATAAACAGGCACCGAATGGGTTGTGGCTAATTAGTTGGATAAAGGTGTTTGAGTAACCAGCAAGATTGTTAATAGGCTATATATGGTTGGTTTCTAGAAGACCTTCAGATGCCAAAAGATTCTGAACATTATTACAATAGAAAACAAAAAACAATAAATGAAATTTTTGAGTAGCTTAAAAATATTTTTGGCATTTGTTTTTTAGGGCTTGGCTAGCTTCACTTAGCAAGGAGAGTAACTAAGAACAGACTAGGGAAGAAGAGCACGAGAAGAAGACCAACATTAAACAAGAATGAGAGGTGGGAGGGAAAGGGAGAGAGAAGGGAAATTGCATGGAAATGGAAGGAGACCCTCAGGGTTATACAAAATTACATACAAGAGGAAGTGAGGGGAAAGGGAAAAATAATACAAGGGGGAGGAATGAATTACAGTAGAGGGGGTAGAGAGAGAAGAGGGGAGGGGAGGGGAGGGGGAGGGGAGCGTGGATAGTAGAGGATAGGAAAGGCAGCAGAATACAACAGACATGAGTATGTCAATATGTAAATCAATGGAAGTGTAACTGATGTGATTCTGCAATCTGTATATGGGGTAAAAATGAGAGTTCATAACCCACTTGAATCAAAGTGTGAAATATGATATATCAAGAACTATGTAATGTTTTGAACAACCAACAATAAAAAAAAATATTTTTGGATATTTGGAAGAAGATGCAAAAAAAAAAAAAAGGATACTGAGAGGGAGAGCAGCATGTGACATTGGTATTAGTAAGGATATAAAGTAATGGGAAAAAGAACTAGGATGGTAGCAATAGGCAAGACAAATTTGAGTCTCTAAGAAGTGTGGGAGATCCAAAACTTCTGTCATTTATAAAATTCTTGCTCAATATTGGTTGTGTATCTTTGCATTGTATCCTGCTTCCTTCCAGAACTTGAGCTGGTAGATTAATATAGTTAGACTATAAGAACTTGAGCTGGTAGATCTATATTATCTGGTATATACATAGTCCAGGTAACATGCCTTAGATTATATCTATATACACAGGCTTTCAGGTTGAAAATGTATGCTACAGTTCAGGGAAATACAGTAAATATAAATGGACTACCACTAGTTTTTCACCATTATGTGAAAAATAATCCAGTTATCTAACTAACCAAGCTATAAGTCATGAAATTTGTTTGTTAAAGGAAGAATAATTACATGATGGTTAGAATTTACTTTGTGTGTGTGTGTGTTTTTTTTTTTTTTCCCATCTTATTTAGATGGGTCTTGATGGACTTCAACAAGACTATATCAGAAAAGCTGAATATCCTTTTAGCTCTGAGCAGAAGTGGATGGCTGTTAAGTGTGTACACCGAACACAGCAGGTATCTCTCTTTTTAAAGAATAATTATAACCTGTTGAGCTTAGGTCACTATTTTTATTGTACCCTCTGCCTTGAGATTTAAACAATGTGTATAGAATAAATAAAGATTAGTTGTTTTAAACTATGCATAATTAATAGTGCACCCATTTCTTCTTGTTTTCTGGTTATCTTGATCTCTTTTCTCTTATAGAATCTGTGTATAGATATATTTAGTTTTGTTAGGTGCACAAATAAACATGTTATAGCCTAGTCTCAGTTTCTTGGAGCTTGTGACATCAAGTTCTCTCCCACATGTTTTTTTGTTCTAATGTTAATGGTTCATTATAGGTTTCTTCTGACTGTGTATTGTCAATATGTATTCTTTCATTGAAGGAATGTTTTTAGAACAAACAAAACCCACTTTATTTGGTGGAAAAGTGGTTTCCAAGTGTATGTAATTCATACATACATTGGTTGATCCAGTTTACAAACTGATAAAATGACATGCACAGGTATTTTAAGCTTTTATTTGTTCCTGGGTATTTCAGAAATTTTTGCATAATAGTTCTGAATTATCTACAGTGCATAATCATGCATTCATAGTTACTGCTACCAGTTTGATGCTTAAATTTACTTTAAAAATATATTTGTTATTGGGCTGGGGCTGTAGCTCAGTGGCAGAGTGCTTGCATAGCATGTGTGAGGCACTGAATTCGATCCTTAGCACCATATACAAATAAAATAAAGGCATTCTGCCCATCTACAACTACCAAAAAGTTATATATTATTTTAAATTTTTATTTAATATGAATGAAGAATCACTTATGTGTTTTTTATCCTTGAACTGACCATAATCAGTTAAATTTTGTAGACAGTAATGAATAAAAGGATTCCCCCACCCATAATAAGTAGGAAACATTGGTTTTAAAAGAAAGGCCAAACTTTACCAATATTGAACTTATGAGTAGTACTCTACTAGGAATTCTGCTAATTGCTTATGTAGTTTGTTTTTGGAAGTCTTTTATTTGAATGTGACAATATACCTTTATCTCTTTTTTCTCCCTGGAATGAATAAAAAGTCATAAACTCATAAGTACCTTTGAGGGCATAAGACTAAAAACAGGGGAGAAAGTAAAAATTCTGAAAGAGGAACCAATAGAACGCTCCTTTTCTACTTCTTTAGGCCAAGGCCATTGGTACTCCTTTATGCCTATGGAATATTAAATCTGCCCTTGGGGGCAGAAGTGAAGGGTAGGATTTAGGCTTTAAGATTAAAAGCACAATCATTTTCCTTAAGGATGAGCGCTTAGCTTTTAATTCCATTTGTCTATTAGAATGTGTGTAGGCAGTTAGAATATTGAAGAATTTTAGAAAATCTTACTAGTCCCAGGAAGGTTTCAACAGTAAAGGACACTCCTAACCAAGACCTATGTTCTTGGAAGCACTTGCCTATCTCTGGGTTTCATCTCATAACCTAGAGGTAAGGTCTACCAGTTGATGAGCTCTTGTCAGTAACCACGGAGCTTCTAGTCCTTTAACTTCTTCATCCTGAATGTAAATGGACAGGGAAGGATTGCTAGATACTTGGGGAAAGTCTTTAGTGTTAAAGACAACAGACCAAATCAACAGAGAAAAAGGTTTCAGAGAAATAAAAGGAATGCCAGATGTTATAGAAAATTTCCAAAGACCATAAAATTTCCAAAGTATTTTGAAAACAAAATTCTTTGAATCAGATATTTATCAAATAACTTAAGGAATCTATCAGAAAGTAGAACAAAAACTCATAGGGTGAATAGTATAGAGAGAAATTGAGAAAATTAAAAAAATTCAACATCCACCTAACAGTGGTAATAGGAAGAGAACAAAAAATGGGAATGTTTCCAGAATGTAAGGGGGTTCTAGAATAAAATAGCTTCCAATTGCTTGGCACAATGAGTATGTTAAAGTAGAGAAGCTGGGAGAGTGGTAATGGGACAAACACAAGACTTGTAATCAAGAAATTTGAGGACATTTGGAGAAAGAGAATTAGAAAAGTTTCCAGAGGGAGAGATCATATTAAATACTTCAGGTGAAGGGGAGATCACACAGAGGTTTGAGAATTAAAGTTCCTATTTTATATTTTTCTGTGTCAACATCAGACACTGGAAGATAATAGAGCAAAGCTTTTGCAATAAGAGGAAATTTATTTTCTGCTAAACTTACAAATGTGAGGATAAAATAAAACAAATTTCACTTCACATATCTTTTTTAGAAAGATAATGGTTGATAGTAATTCAAGGAAAAGGAAGAATTAGAACATGGTGAGGATGGAGGTGATGAGAAGTTTCTGAGTGTGGCGGCCTAAATCAATTCAGATTAAAAGAGGGAAAGAGAAAAAGACTGAAGGAGGAAGGTCTTCAGTAACAATACAGAAATTACGGCTTACCTGTTCATTTGAATGTGCAAAAATCATCAAATGGGAAGGGTTTTATATCACATTGAAGAGTTTGAGAAGGTTTGGTTGAGAGGTTTAAATAAAACTTAAAATAGGGCAGTTATTACTTCACAAAACTTGAATGGGAAAAGTAGTGTTTAGGTGAATTATCAATGAGGATTGACTGTGGAAACATGTTCTTCTGCTGCCTCCCTAAACCCCAAATCGATGTTCACTGTAGTTACTTGGGAACTGTGGCGGATGGAAGCTTCATATCTGTGCGCCTACACACAGTCACAGCAGGAATAGAGGAGCAGCAAATTGTGCGTTGTCCTCTAAATTTCCATTTGGAAGTGACACACATGCTTCTCATTTTTTGACAGAAGCAAGTCACATCTCACTTTAGGGCTAAAGGAGTGCAGCAGGGAAGTATATTCCTACCTTCAAGGAGAACTGGAATGTTTATGAATGACTGGTCATTACTGTTCTTGGCTTAACAGTGAGGAATCTTAAACTGTATCATAAGGATAAGGAGAGGGGGAATAGGTGGTAGAGGTGGCCAAATTCATAGTTATCACAAGAGACAACTGTTTAAAATTGATAATTGAAGGAGTAGCAATATAAATATGTTAAAAACACATTGGTAAATACCAAAGAAAGCAGCTGAAAGAGTTAATTGTTTTGCCTCTGAAGTAGAACTCAGATGAGATGTATTGGGTAGGGGCTGTAGTTTTTTCATTATAAGCTTTTTTTTTTTTTTTTTTTGGTGGGGAATTGAATTCAGGGGCACTCAACCACTGAGCCACATCCCCAGCCCTATTTTGTTTTTTATTTAGACACAGTGTCTCACTGAGTTGCTGAGTGCCTTGCTAAATTGCTGAGGCTTGCTTTGAACTTGCAGTCCTCCTGTCTAAGCTCCCAAGCCGCTGGAATTACAGGCATGCGCCACTGTGCCTGGCCAATACAAGCTTTTGAATACTACTTTTTGTTTTTGTTTTTTGGTGTTGGAGATTTGAACCCAGAACCTTGTGCCTGATAGGTCAGAGATTTCTTTTATTATGATAAATAAAAGAAGTTGTCTAATAATAACCCCAATTGCAAGGTGTTGTTAGATTAAATTGGGTAGATATAGACATGTAGATATAGACATATAGCTAGCAACTTATGAAAAGCCTGAACCATTGTTTGTGGGTTGTTGTTGGATCTCTTTTCCCTTTTGGATTATGATGAGCTTCTTCCCTGATCTCAGTGAGCCTGATGGGCCTTAGTATAGCATTCCGTCACTATGTGGGATGGATGGTAGAGCATATGTTGTTTTCTATAGAAAGTGCAGAAACCTCCCACATATGAGGGGGTTTTTGTTTGGTGGTACTGGTGATTGAACACAGGGGTACCCTGCTACCAAGCTACATCCCTGCCCATTATATTTTGTTTTTAGACAGGGTCTAAATTGCTGAGGCCTCAAGCTTGCCATGGTTCTTCCTTAGCCTCTTGAGGAGCTCGGATTAAAGGCATGTATCTATGCCTGGCCCACCTGAGTGGTTTTTTTTTTTTTTTTTTTTTTTAATACCAGGAATTGAACCCAGGGGTGCTTATTAACCACTGAGCCACATCCCTAGCCCCACTTTAATTTTTTTTTTTTAAATAACTCTTGAGGCAGGGTTTTGCTAAATTGTTTAGGGCCTTGCTAAATTGCTGAGGCTATCCTTGAAGTTGGGATTCTCCTGCCTCAGTCTCCCGAGTTGCTGGGATTACAAGTGTGTGCCGCCACACCCAGCCACATTTGAGTTTTTGATCATCAGGTGTTCAAGTGCCATTCAGAGAGGTTTGAGTAACTTTCTGGGATTATGAGAAACACAAGTTGGTTATTTTGGGACTCTAATAGCAGATATATGCAAGTCAAAATGAAACTTTGTATTTGATATGTTTTTCTTCTTAGGACAGACCAGAGATTTGTTTTATGAAGGGTGCTTATGAGCAGGTGATTAAATACTGTACTACGTACCTTAGCAAAGGGCAGACCTTGACTCTCACCCAGCAGCAGAGAGATATGTACCAACAAGAGAAGGCACGGATGGGTTCAGCTGGTCTCAGAGGTAAGCTATTTTGACCCTGGGGTGGAAAGTTATAGCCTTCTTTTAATTGCATTTGAGTTCATATTTCACATCTGAGCTGTTCAGTTGATTCCAGGCATTGTCCAACTCTATTCCTTACCATTTCTGAGGTGCTTTATTTAAGTTGGTTAACTGGACCCTAAAAGATGGAAAGTTAAGAATACAGCAAAATATGAAATTTCTGTTTCTTACAGACCTGTAGTAGTCTTTGAGTGGGTGATAGAAATTTTATTTTGAATAATTTTGATCTTGTGAGAAGGTCAAGGTAAAATAATATTATCCTTTTATGATTTTGTCACTTTGTTTTTATTGTTAATAGAATTAAAATACTCTCGTATATATGGAAGTCTTCAGCCTCTTATTTGTCCTTTAAGGTGAATGCTAACTTAATCCTCATCTGCTGTCTTTGTTCTCTTGCTATTCACCAGGGAGTTGAAGTAGTGCCCTGTATATACAGATCCTGTATATCTCCCCGTCCCCCATATATATATCTCCCTCCTGAATGTGTCAGGGTGAGGGTGGGGTTCTGCTCTGCACCTTATATCAGGCCTCTTCTTTTGAAATACAGTGTAGGATTCAGTGAAGAGGAGTATATACCTGATTGTTACCATTCAGATAGTCATCTGACTTGTGCAGAATATAAAAGAAATTGGAAGAGTTAACTTCCTTGTACAGTTTTAATGAAATGTAAGTCAAATACTACAGTTACTCAGAGAAAGGAAAACAAGTTATGTGAAAATGTTCTTATTTGTGCTTCACTTAAGTGAAGGCATTCTTTGGCTTAAAACATTTGGAGAGATTCATAGGACTTCTGTTTTTATAATAAGCTTATAAAACATTTAGAAAGGTATTCTGTGGGTCAGAGTGTGCACCTGCAGCATGCTGTCATGCTTTGTTCCCTGGCTTCTCCACCAGCCCTTAGGCTGCAGAGCCAGGGTTACTCCTTGTGTCCTCCTTATCGCTTGTTGCATCCTACCTAGGTTATGGACTGTATTGTGATCATTTCAGAACCTCACACTCTATCTCAGGGAAAGAGGAAGTAGAGCTTTCTGGCTGAAAAATTGTTGTGCAGATGGATCTATTTTTATATGAAAAAAAATGTTTTTAACAAAAAATAACTTTTTCTTTTCCTTTCCCTTCCATAATGAAAAAGGCTTTGATGGCATATCCTTGAATTTCAAGTGTTTTTTTTTTTTTCCTACATCTTGAATTCTAAACATGCTGCTAGACCTCTGCCTCAACCCTCAAGCTTTCAGAATCCTTGAGGCCACAGCAGATTTTTCTCCCAGCATTAGTTCTGGGGCAGGAGGAAACTCTTGTCTGGTTGAACTAGGTCAGACCTAAGAGTAGTGAGATGAGACTGAAGAATTTTTTAAAAAATAAATTTAATTTAACAAAACAGTGTGCAATACTGCTGAATATTCTGGGGAAGTGGGCACAGGAGTGTTCCACACATACTAAATGTGCTCCCTTCTGAACAGTGAGCAGACCAAAACTGTTTAATGGCCCTAGCCACAGAAAACTCAGAGTCTCTGACTTAAGGTTATATTTCTTTACCTCCTTTGCGCCTATTTCAGCTTCCTACCAAAAGCTAGTCTGAGAGAATGGAACTGTTAGGATTTGATCCAGAATTGTAATTGTTAGATCAAGGGGTAGCTTAGGTGACTTGAGGATCACTGCAGGGAAGCCTGCATAGCCAAGAAAGCTCTTTGTTGCTAAAGCTTGTGTATCAAGAGGCAACAGTAACATCTCTGAGGGATTCCTGGGAAGGTGGATGGGAGGGTGGGAGGTGGGGTATTGCTCCTTGGGTTACCTCTTCCTTCTGGGGCTTAGGTTACCTCTTCCTTCTGGCTCTTTTTAAATCCCCTTTGGTAAGATGCAATTAATTTTTTTAAAAAGTGTGAGGAGCACAAAATGCAAACCTATTTTCTTACCTCTTGATCTTCTGTGTCTTCACCTTCAGTTTGTTGGGTTTGTTTCCGTCTCTTAATAAAACTTTGAAACTTAAAACAAGGAAGGGGTAAGAGTTTTGTCACTCTTAAGAAAGCTTACAGCAAGAGAGTTTCAAGGTTGGTGTGAATTTACAGAATTCAAAGTGATCTTAAAGTTATGTATCTGCTTCTGTTTCCCTTAATTTTTGGAACAAAAATTTTTATACTTTTTTATTTTGACTAACTTTTTTGTCTGAAAGATTATGAAGATTTGTGTATGTGCAGTTTTGTGTTAAAACATTGTGAAGAAGAAACATAGAGGGGAAACATTCTATTCCTGCCTGGTATCTTTTCTTCATCTCTTTGTGCTCTACTTCCCTTCAATCCCTGAGATTGCCATAATGTAAGAACAGAAAATATTGTAAATTTTAATTGAAATGTACTTACGTTGCGTCTTATAAAACTTTTCTTAAAATGCTTGTGGACTTAAATTTTGAAATTAGGCTATGTGTTGTTTTATGTGACAAGCATTCCACATGAAAAATGTTTAGCTACCCTTGGCTAAAGAGTAGCATTAGATCTTCATTTATGCTAAAGATGTGAAAAAGTAATAAATACAGGGTACTAGGCTTTCCACCAGCTTCACCCCTTCATTGGGAGAACTCAAGTTTATTTCTCTTCCCTAGGAATTGCAGATGTACAAATTGATATTCACTGTCCCCTTCTTTTGCTACCTGCCTCTATCCTAGCATCAGGCATCGACTGTACAGCAACTCATTCTCTTCAGAGAGAATGCCTTTGGGGTTACGGTTAGGGGCCCACATCTGTATGAATAATTATATTGGAAAAATACAAGTTACTTGCCTTGATCTTGATTTTCTAGTCCTCCATACCTTCTGCTTGATTAAAAGTAGATACTTTTCATCTCTGTGAGACTGTTCAGTCTAATAATATCCCAGACACAAGCACATGCTTCTGGTCTATCAGGGTAGTTAGCAGAGGTTCCAGAATTCTGAGAGTAAGCTAAATGAAGAGTATTTGTACTTATCTCAAATGCTCAGTGATGACAGAGAAACTAACTTAAAGTAATGATATGATGGTGTTATTTAAATACTCTTAGAGAACCACAATTAGAAATAAGAAAGACAGACTACTATTCTGCAAAGAGTGAAAAAATCTAAACGTTGTTATTACTGGTCTTATAATAACTTTGTAGATTAACTTTACCATTCAGGGTTTGTCATACATGCAGTTGTTACAGGCTGTGTGTAATTAATTAATACAAACTTTTGCAGACTTTTGAATTTTTCTGGAGGTCTGTGAGATGTAAAGATGAAGCTACATTAGTATCCACCATCAAAGGTGTCTGTTTAAAACTGATTTTAAAGCTTGACAAACCCATATATTCTCTAAATAATGAATTGTATCTTCTAAAGAGGCAGTAGTTTCTATGGAAAGTAGTTACATGTGGTTGTCTGCAAAATCATTCTTCATTCTCCTTTATTTGCCTTATCTGCTTAACAGTTCAGTAATTTACTTCTCTTAATTTTTAATAGCTTTTTAAAGAATCATTAAACTACAATGTCTTGGTGTGTAAAATTTTTATTTTTAAAAATGATATATCTACAGATGACATTATATTCTTAAGTGAGTTATTGTCAATTAAATTCTAATGTTTATGTGTTTTCTTTTTTGGATTTTATTATTTCCTAAGTTCTTGCTTTGGCCTCTGGTCCTGAACTGGGACAGCTGACATTTCTTGGCTTGGTGGGAATCATCGACCCTCCTAGAACTGGTGTGAAAGAAGCTGTTACAACACTCATTGCCTCAGGAGTATCGATAAAAATGATTACTGGAGATTCACAGGAGACTGCAGTTGCAATTGGTATAACTAGGATGCTTCATTTCATTTTTGATAGTTTTTCTTAAAATACTGTGGTGTATTAGATGTACAGTGTACATTAGATGTACAGTGTGTTTACATAATATTCAAATTTAAAGTTGACTTACTTTTTTGCTCATATATATATATATATAATTGTAGGCAAAAATTAATGATAGCTTGAAAAGTGATACATTATTGAACACATATAACTGAACCAGGTGTGGTGGTACACACCTGTAATACCAGCTATTTTGGAGGCAGAGAGAGGAAGATCACAAGTTGGGGCCAGCCTGAGCAAGTTGGCAAGACCCTTTTCAGCATAAAATTTTATGAAGGGCTGGTGATGTAGCTTAGTGTAGTGTGCTTGCCTAATATGCTTGAAGCCCTGGCTTGTTCAATCCCCAATATTGTCCCCCCACTTAAAAAAAAAAAATGTGTGTGTTTGTGTCTGTGTGTGTGTGAGTGCATGCGTGTGCGCGTGTATATACATATAAAACTAAATTGTGAAATCACGTGTATTTTATTCACATACAGGTATTGATTATTTTTAACTTTGTAATCCAATTTACTGATAAAAGAACCAGCTTAACCTAAGTATAATTTTCAAAGCAGGCTTATGCATAAGTAGGAAGAAACTAGCGTGTATTTGTTTTCATCATGTATACATAAACACACACACATAAATATATCAAATTTAAATGTTATTTAAGATTTTCTTAAGAAATGCAAGGGAAAAAAAGTAGTAGTATGAAAGTTTAACTCCCCAGAGCCTATAAACTATAGTACTGATAAATTTAACAATTTGCTAAATTCCATTAAAACTGATTTTTATTAATATTATGGGGTAGGAGTTCCAAACTGTGTGTTATGTAAGAAATATCACTAGAAACAGAATATTATTGGAAGAAAACTTTTCCACAGTTGTTTTCCTTTACATGTAATGGTTACCTCAAATACACTATTATTGTGCCTGATAATGCATTCTGATACTGGTTAGAATTCAGCTGCTGAGCAGAACCCTATTGTCCTAGTTCATTCTAAGGGTTTCCTAGCTTAGACAGTGAACATTTTTTTAATTCTTGTATGTAAGTAAAAATAAAACAGACACCTACCTCAGACTTACTATATATTCAGATAGGATTTTCTCTCCCAATAGTTTGTCTTGTTATTCCTTGATGTAAGTGCATTTTACACTTAAAAAGAAAGGGTGAAAAATCATATTAAGTAAGCATAGTGTTGACTAACCGGTCAAACAGAAACAATTTGGTTACTTATGTATTTTTCTCTTTTAACTTTAGCGAGTCGTCTGGGATTATATTCTAAAACTTCTCAGTCAGTCTCAGGAGAAGAAATTGATGCCATGGATGTCCAGCAGCTTTCACAAATTGTACCAAAGGTAGGCCTATCCTAAAGCCTTTTAGACTGAGAGGTCTTATTCTAAGTGTTAACCATTACCACTGTCTTAATGAAACTTTATTTATGGACAAGTGATACATGACCTACAAATTAGTTGGTTTGAATTCTGAGAAAAAAAATTTGATTGAAATAAATTTTATCATTGAATATTTATGACAATGTCATTATGAATATCATGTAAAATTATTAATTTGAGCAAGAACTGAGTTCCTCCTGAGAAAAATACTATGGAAATTAACAGTGCTTGCATTTATAAATCAGAGGATGAAAAAAGATCAATACTTTGTGTTTCTTACCCTTTTGCTTTTATTTTAGTATGACCTCGCCTTTGTTTCGCACAGGTGATGGAAATGGGGTTCCCCTCAGTGAAATGGGCTGGCTGAGAAATAAAAGCTAGGAAAACTAGAAGGATGAGAAAACCACAGGACACAGAAAGTAGTTTCAAAAGTGGTAGGGGGGGGCTGGGGTTGTGGCTCAAGCAGTAGTGCACTCGCCTGGCATGTGCACGGCGCTGGGTTCCATCCTCAGCACCACATACAAATAAAGATGTTGTGTCCACCAAAAACTAAACAATAAATATTAAAAATTAAAAAAAAAAAAGTGGTAGGGGGCTGTGGCGGTTGCACAGGACTGGCAAGGCCATCAGACTGATCGAGATTCTGTACTTTGGCAGAATTAGGGACTCCCCCCTTGCTTTATTTATATCAAGAGACATCAAAGGCAGTGATAAGGTTTCAAGGGCAGAGTCTTGCTTCATGGTGTCTTGGCGTCCCCAGCTTGATTGACATCTTGGCAGGTCACATTTATCTCAGGTGCTGTGTGGGATCTCTAATAGAGCTTCAGAGGGAAGTTCACCTGCATCAGACGATCAGTCCCTTTGGGGGTGCCAAGGGAGGTTCCCAATGCCAGATTTATACCCTCATTAGGCTCCTATGCTCAACATAATCCACATACCCACATACAGCCCATGGACAACTCGTGACAGTATGTGAGAGAGAGAGAGAGAGAGAGAGAGAGTGTGTGTGTGTGTGTGTGTGTGTGTGTGTATGTATTTTTATGTGGTGCTGAGGATGGAACCCAGTGCCTAACGTGTGTGAGACAAGCACTCTGCCACTGAGCCACAACCCCAGTCCAGCATATATTTTTTAAAAACAAAATTAAGGTATTTTACATACAGTAAAATTTGCCTTTTTACAAAATATGTGGTTCTGATCTTTATGATAAATGCATGCAGTCTTGTAACCATGACCACAGGCAGGCTGTACAACAGTTTCATCAACCCACCCAATTCTCTTATGTCTTTCTGTAGTCAAGTGCTTCCCCTACTCCTAGCAATTGACAGTCACTAATTTGTTTCTTATCCAGAATGTTTGAAAAATTGAATTATGATATGAGGCTTTGGAATTTGCTTCTTTCACATAGCATAGTACCTTTGAGATTTACTATGTTTGGAAATTTAAAATTATTAAAATATAATAATTTATTATTATTGACTACGATAAAAAACAGTGAATTTTTTATTAGCAGGACTCTTCCCACACCCACTTTTCTTCTCGACTTCATCTTGCATTCATGTGACTCTTATAACCAACATGCTTTTGAACTTCTACTTTTGCAGCTGATCAGATTGAATAGCTTTTCTTTATTAATGTTACACATAAAACAGAACTTTTGTTCTAAATCATCAGCTTGTTAAGTATTTCCCACATTCTGAAATCATCTTAGTTCCTCATTCAAATATTTTTCAGCTTTACCTTTTCATCATTCTCTGGAAAATTTTCCAAACTTTTCAACATGCTATGTTCTTTTGACCTAGAGCTAATTAAAAATGAATGTGCAGATGGGTTTGCTTGATTATATATTAAGTATATTTGGAATTCTCAGTGTTTCCATTTGAGATTTCTTGGAGTATGTTCTATATTTTTTCAGTGATAGAGGTTGTCATTCTGTTTTCAGATTTTGATATCAGTATTTTATATTTCCGCTGAACTATTAGCCAAGTCCCCATAGTGTAATCCCAATTTGTGTATTGTAGTGACTTTTATTCTCTTTTGCTAGACTGAGAAACAGACATACAAACTAAATGATTATAAAAAGGGAATTCATATATCTCCTGTTGTACAGCCTGCCTGTCATACAGCTTGTGAGACAGTGCTGTATTTCAATTTCTAGTAATTTCTTGTGTTTTTTTATTTTGAATCGCAGGTCATTTTTTTAGTCTTTGTGTGTATCCATTGATTTTCAGTAGTTTATTCAACAAGATTGACCTATTCATTCTAGGACTTACAGAACAAATGTTACTCTGGGTGGTTTTATGGCCACATGTAAAAAACTAGATGATCTTTGTACTTTGCATTGAGATATACTTTGTTTTCTAGTAGCTAGTCTTATTTTTTGATTCTATTAAAAGCTTTGAAATGTTGAAATCTTTAGTCAAGTAATAGTTGTAATGGATGCATGCCAAATAAATTTATTACTATATGAAATAAATATGGCTTGGTCCAACAACTGGTGGCTGTCATTCTTGGTAACCCACAGTATCTATAAGAAAGTGATTTATAAGTTTCAAAAATTAATTATGGGGACCAAAGGCAAAATTTTGCTCTGTACAATCAGCATATTTAAAATTAGTATATTTAAAATATTAAAATATTTCAATATTCTGTTTAGTCTGCAGCTTTTGTTAAAATCTTTTGTCATGTTTTAGTGCTGTGTGCTATACAATTAATTTTGGCAATAATTAGAACTTTCACTTGGAAGATTACTACTAGTATACTTAGAGTATACATGTAGCTTAGTCTTATACCAAGAAGTTTCTAGACAGATTTTTGAACCTTTTTTTATGTATTTACTTATTTTTGAGGTACTGGAAATTGCACCCAGGGCCTAGAACATGCTAGGCAAACTGTCTACTACTGAGCTACTTCCCTAGCTCTTTCCATCTATTTTTTTTTTAGCCGTATTTTATTTATTTATTTATATGTGGTGCTGAGGATTGAGCCCAGTACCTCACATGTGCTAGGCAAGCACTCTACCACTGAGCCACAACCCTAGCCCTCCATCTTTTTTATTTTGAGACAGGATCTTACTAAGTTGCCGAGGCTGGCCTTGAACTTGTGACCCTACTGCCTTGGCCTCCTGAGTGGCTGGGAATATAGGCATATCTCACTCTACCCAACTGAATTTTATTTTCAAAGAAAGAATATTCTCCAAATATGGGTTATGAGGACTGTCGAATAAACAGGAATGTGATGTTATAATTTAATGAATCTTTTTTATATTTTAGAAAATAATCTTTTGATTTTAGACTTTTATTGCCAAGGAGAAACTGTGAAGAGTTTTAAAGATGGTACTAAGATTTATTCTGTTGTTTATTCATTTATTTAATACTTATTTTTAAAACACATAATCTCTGCTTTTGTGGAGCTTAATAAATTCTAATATAAATGAAATTTTACACATATATGGGGGTAGTACTAAAGAGCACCATTGTAAGCAGGCAAGAAAGGAATAGAGGTAGGAGAGGAAGTTGGAAATTTTAAGAGCATGACTGGGGAAAGCCTCACTGAGAAGGTACTGTTTGATGAAAGGGCAGCCCATGTAAGGTCTGAGGAAAGAATATTGCAGATAGAAGGAACAGGCCAGAGGCCTTGAAGTGAGTGTGCCAGGTACATGTGAGAAGCAATGAGGAGGCCAGTGTTATAGTTCAGGCCAGCAAAGATTAATGATGGAAGACGAATGTGATGAGCTGTGTATTTCATGCAGGACTTGAAGATAAGACCATAGTGGTTTTTGTACAGAGCAGGATGAGAAGTGATTGGAGGGAGCAAAGGAGTTAGTGATCTGACTTTTGGTTTAACACTTTCACTGTAGTCATTATGTTAAGAACAAATACCAAGAAGAGAGAGCAGAAATAAGAAAATCAATTCAGAGGTATTGGCCCATTGAGTTGACAATGGATTTGGAGTAAGGTGGTTGAATTCTGGATACATTTGCCATGTGAGAAAAGGGGACGAATTAAGGATGCCTCCTCAAATTCAGAGCTTTAACAATTTCAAGGATATAATTACCATTAACAGAGGATAGGAGGGAGCAAGATTTGTAGGAAATAACAGGTGTTCAATTTTGGATATGTTTGAAATGAGACATTCAAGAAGAAATGTGGAATAAATAGGTGGATTAGTTTTATCAGTCTGGATTTCAGAAGAGATGTCAAGGATGCAAATAAAATGCACATAGATAAAATCTGAAGCAGTAAGACTGGATGGGCTCCCTTATTGAGTAGGAGTTTCTTAGACCTCATCAAAAGGAAAGACTGAGAAATAACTCCTTATGTGTTTCAACATTTAGACCAGAAAAGCCAGGAGTCTGCATAAGAGGAACAGCCAGAAAGGCAAGAGGAAGACCAAGTGTTTGGAAGCAGTGAGTGATCAGCTTTGTAAGGATGCTGCTGAGAGGTTAAGTTAGTTGAGAAATGACCATTGATGTTAGCAATATGATGTGGGTGAGTGGTCTTTGGTAGTCTTGAATGATGGTTTCAGTGCAGTGGTGGTGTGATAACCTGATTGAGATGGATTTAGGAGATAATGGTAGACAGGTAACTTCCTAAGGAGTTTTGCTCCAGAAATTCTTCCTTCCTATGTCAGTTTTTCCTTCATTACTGCATTTTTACCCTCAGTATCTAAGCTTGTTGTTTTTCTTTTCATTGGAAAAAAAAAAAGAAAAAGAAAAGAGAAATGTAGACACAGCAGGAATAAATGGGAAAGGACAGGTTGTGGGTTGTCCCCCCTTTTATAATGGAAGGGTTAATAACATGCTTGTATACTGATGAGAAAGATTCAGCAGTGAGGGGGAAAATGGTCCTAAATAGGTAAGAAAGGACTGGTCCTAGAAGTAGATTCAGTTTATCTTTCATAAAACATGAAAAAGGATAGTGCCTGGACAGATACTGGCTAGTGGGAATCCTGGAAATTTTCTTCTGACTCTGTTTTCTCTTAAGTAGGAAGTAAGGTTGTCTGTTGAGCATAAGACTGTAGATTGGAGGAATGAGGAGAGAGAACTAATAGGACTAATCTTCTACGAGCTTATGGTATATTTTGTGGGTATTGGAATTACCATAACTTATAAATATTGAAGATAGCAACAGTGAGGCTGAAGTTAAGATCTTTGAAACAAGAGGTTGTGTGCTCAGGAACAGTGAATGCCTGCAGTTAATGGGAAGTATAAACTTCTGTGACATTTAAAACTGCAGTGTTTCTGAAGGGAGAGTGAAGGACATGCACCCATTCTAAGCTGCCTTGGTGGTAGTATTTGAGAGTGCTGTAAGGGATGGCAGTGTTGTGTGAAAAACCTAGGCTAAAGCAAAGTGGCAGAGTTGAGATACAGATCTTGTTGGTTGACTGACTTTGGGGCACAGTGAAAGGGTTTCAGGAAACTGGGAAAAGGGGTCAGAAAAGAAAGGATTAAGTATATAGTTTGAAAAGAGAAAATCATAGAGCAGTTTTGGATGTATACTGGAAGAGGATTATTATCCTAAATAAAAAAGAGCGTGCAATGAAAATAGCAAAGTTAAAGACTGTTTTAGTTGTACACTGGTGTATCATGAGCAAACAGAAGAATTTTTTTGTTTCCTTGTCTGCAACATTCTAAGAATAAGGCTATTTTCATTATTTAGACCTAGTGTTGTAAATTGAATGGCTTGTTTTGATTTTATGTTTTCCATGGTACCTTTGGTAAAGGTTGAAATGACTGTCAAATGAATGTCTTGACAAATATATGGTACATTAAGTTTGATCTCTGTGGCAGATGAAGCACAGCTTAAATTACTGAGTAAAAAAGTCACCATTAGTTGTGAATGCGTGAGTTATTCTAATATCTTCTTAAAAGTGAAAATTTTTAATGCATCTTATATTTTATCAGGTTGCAGTATTTTACAGAGCTAGCCCAAGACACAAGATGAAAATTATCAAGGTAGGTGTCTAAAAGTCAGATTGCTTAATTTTTCTATATAAAATGCTGCTACTTTGTTTTTTGTTATCTTTGCATTACAAGGAGTATTGATAGAGCCCCAAAGTCAGAAGTATTGTAAAGCAAAACACTCATCGATTTCAAGAGCTTGATGTGGAAACACTAACAGAGAATTTTATTGGGAAGATGTGGAAGAAAACTCTTGAAATATCTGCAAATACGGCCATCTTTAAACAGTTAAATAGTGTAGCAGTATATTCTGACAGAGGTCCATAGCCAAATCATCCCAATGTGAATGATGATAATTAGTTAAAAACTGAATAAATATAAGAAGAAAGCATTATAAGAGTGTGAACAGTATTTGAAATGCTATGGTTACTTAGATTAAAACATCAAATGTAGCCATGCATTGCTTAATAATAGGGTTATGTTCTAGAAATGTATTGTTAAAATGAATCCCCCCCCCCACTGTTTGAACATCATGAGTATAATTAAACTTAGATGGTGTAGGCCAGAGCATGGCTTTTTTTTTTTTTTTTTTTTTTATACCATGGATTGAACCTAGGGTCACTTAACCACTGAGGCACATTCCAGCTCTTTTTTTTTTGTATTTTATTTAGAGACAGGGTCTTGCTGATTTGCTTAGGGTCTCTCTAAGTTGCTGAGGCTGGCTTTGAACTTGCAATCCTTCTGTCTCAGCCTCCTGAGTTGCTGAGATTACAGGAGTGCATCACCCTGCCAGGCTTAGCATGTCCTCTTAATGCAGTCAAGAGATGTGTTAAACATAGGGGTGTGACACACCAAACTTGTTTTTTTTTTTAAAGTAGTAGTATCCTCTAAAATAGTGATTGAAAGTATAGTAAATGTATAAACCAGTCATTTATTGTTATTATCAGGTATAGTGTTGTAAATTATATGCTGTATTTTTTATATAAACATGAATAATGTGTTGTGCGACAGTATTATGAGGACTTAGATGCTAATAGTCATTACAAATTCTTCAGCTCCATCTACTATGGTATATGTGAATATTATGTAGCACATTTCTGTAAATAAAAGTAACTGTCATAGTATTCAATGGGCTTAATTTATTAATGACGATAAACAGCTATTGTATATAGTTCTTCAGTTTTAGCACTTTTGACATTTGGACTAGATAATTCTTGGTAGTGAGGGCCTGTCTTATGTATTGTAGAATGTTTCACAGCATTCTCAGCTCCTACTGGCTAGGTGCTGGTGGCATCCCCCAAACCAAGACAATCAAAAATACCTTCAAATATTGTTAGATTTCCTTGAGGAGACAAAATTGTCTCTTACTGAGAATCATATATAGTTCATCTATTTAGATATAGTTCTCACAAATGGGAATATTAATAACAACTTTTCCTAAGCTTTATCCTCTTAAAAACTCCACATATTTAACCTTATTGAAAAATGGATTGATTGGATTATTTCTGTAAAAGAATAGTTGAGAGTGCTTGTTTAGCCCATTATTGTATGGAAACAACTTTATCATCAGGATTCTTCCCTCCACTCTGTTCCCATTCCTCTTTAGTCTCTACAGAAGAATGGGTCGGTTGTGGCCATGACAGGAGATGGAGTAAATGATGCAGTTGCTCTGAAGGCTGCAGATATTGGAGTTGCAATGGGCCAGACTGGGACAGATGTTTGCAAAGAGGCAGCCGATATGATCCTGGTGGATGATGATTTCCAAACCATAATGTAAGCTTTGTTTCAGTGAATGTAGAATGTCCTTTTCTACATCTTATCCACAGATAATTCAACTGGAAAAGAATTAGTATTTAAACATTGACCAAGTTTCTAATTTCTAGACCAAATCATGTTTCTAGATAAATCATGTTTTCTGGCCTAATGTGTAGTTCTAGAGAAGATGATTTGTATGGATTAAACAGACATAATAGGGGCTGGGGATGTGGCTCAAGCGGTAGTGCGCTCGCCTGGCATGCGTGCGGCCCGGGTTCGATCCTCAGCACCACATACCAACAAAGACGTTGTGTCCGCCGAGAACTAAAAAAAAACAAACAAACAAACAAAAAAAACAGACATAATAAATGGTTAGTCCTTATCTTTTAAGAAAGTGAGTGCCAGTGAAGTGTCACATTGTTCTGGGCACTAAAAACAATGGTACAACAGTGAACCTTCATTAGGGGCCTTTATTTTAGTTAAATTCAGGTTCTTAGAAATGTGCATATACATGACCTTACAGTAAGTATTAAAAATTATAAAATTCACACCCATACTTATTCCCTTATAACAGTAGTTGTTCATGTTGTTCTTTTCATGATATAATTTGTTAAATTTGAATAGTTTTGTTTTATCCATAGTTTCCAATTGATGTAAGACTGCAATTTAACACCCTGTGGAGTCAGTTTCACAGTAGTTAGGTGGAGATCATGTTAATTTCACCCTCTTAGATGACCGAACCTTGCTCATTTGTCAAATTATAAGTCCCTGTCCCAGGATGCTTTATTACGCAATAGTATCCTAAAGTGATGTACTTGAGAGTGGGAGTTCAGAACTCGGAGCATTGCCAAGCTCTTATAAAAATCTTTTTTTTTTTTTTCTCTCTCTCCCTGCTTAGAGTTATATAAAAATCTGGGAAGAAAGGAGTTGTTTAAAAAAAAAAAAAACCTATTTTCCTGGATTGAGCCAATTGAAAGAATTTATGAGTTTTTGTAAATTAATTTTCTTTAATTCCTCTGTAGTGTGTAGCATATATACCTGTGTGTAGGAACAACAGATAGCTTAAATTCCATAATTCTTACATAGCTCATTGATGTTTAATTCCTGATATATATTAATAAGAAAAATGAGCTTAGAGACATAGAGATGATTATCATTTTAGTATTTTAAATGTATAGCATTATGTGTAGAGGCAGTTTATTATTTTAATGTTCAAATGTCTTTAATAAGATTTATTAAAATTAATAATATAATGAAGTTAGCTTACATAGATCTCAGCATGTTTGATTTTAGTTCATTTAGCTCATTGTTTCCATATTGTAATCTTAATTATGTGAAGAAAATATTAGATTTTCTGTCTTTTATTTATTTGTTTTTGGTAATAGAGATTGAACACGGGTATTTTACCACTGAGTTATATCTTCAGCCCTTTTTGTTTTGAGACGGGTCTTGCTAAATTGCTTAGGGCATCACTAAGTTGCTGAGGCTGGTCTGGAACTTGGGATCCTTGACTCCCAAGTTGTTTGGATTGCAGGTGTGTGCCACCATGCCTGGCTTAATAATTTATTTTTTAAATTGATTCTTTTAAATTTAAAAATTGATAGTTTTTAAATTGTAGTAGGTATTGAAAATCATTTAGAGATGACTTAAAAGCATGCAAGAGAATATGTAAACATATGCAACTACTGTGAAATTTTATATAGGGAATAGGAATTTTTATATATTAGTCGGAAATTTATTCTCAAAATAGCTTCACAGTCTTTTAGTACAAAAGTAGCTTTATTTTTATATGAAGTTTTTCATTTTATCTTTACTTTTAAAATTTTAGGTCTGCAATTGAAGAGGGTAAAGGAATTTATAACAACATAAAAAATTTTGTTAGATTTCAACTGAGCACGTAAGTTTGCAAGATATTTGTAACTCATGGGTCTTCTAGATAAATTATAGGAAAGTAGAACATACCTAGAGACTTCTGTGTATTTCTGCAGGGTTTTTGTAAGTAAGTTTTCTAAAGAGAGAATTAACTGTACAGAAATGGCATGCTAAGTGGACTCTAAATATGATAATTAAATGTTTCTGTCATCATCAAAATATTTTGTTAACCCATTTTATCTCAGTTTCCACATTTGTGGTCAAGTATGTATAGAAAATATTTGGAAAAAAAATTGTGTACTGAAAATCTATAGACTTTCCTCCTTGTTTTTATACTGGAAATAATACAGTACAACAAAAATTTATATAGCATTACATTGTAGTAGGTATTGAAAATCATCTAGAGATGACTTAAAGCATGCAAGAAAATATGTAAACCTATGTGCAAATACTGTGAAATTTTATATAGGGAATGGGAATTTTGGTATTTCAGGGATTTCTAGAAACAACCCCCCCATGGATACTGAGGAATTTGTTTAATAACTTCTGAAATATAAGGAGTGGAATGGGTCATATCTCAGTGTTTCTTCTTAGGGTTTTTTTTTTCAAAAAATAGTGGTTTTCTGTAGCCAAAAGAAAACAGTTGAATATTGATGAAACTGTTACATAGATTTAAAAAATTTCCCCTATTTGCTGCTGTTAAACATATTTTTCTAAATAATGTTAGATTTTAAAAGTTCACATGAATGAAGCATAGGTTACTTCTTTTAAAATTACAGTAGTAACATAAGCTTTTTGAATGGTAGAAAATAAATATTACCACAGATTCAATAGGAAATTTACTCTGCTGACAGATTAAATGACTCTCTTTTTCAACAGGAGTATAGCAGCATTAACTTTAATCTCATTGGCTACATTAATGAACTTTCCTAATCCTCTCAATGCAATGCAGATTCTGTGGATCAATATTATTATGGATGGACCCCCAGCTCAGAGGTAAGGTTTTTTGTGCTTGAACTAGGAAGATATGGAAATTGTGATGCCCTGATGTAAAATTTTATTATGAATAATGTTGGAAATTTGCAGTAGCATATAAATTGTGTGATATATGCATATTATTTATTCTCTTTGAATGTTTATTCATGCAGTATGGATCTGAAGCTTTATGCTATGTCACACATATACTTTGGTTGAAAACATATCAGAGAATAGATGCAGTCCCTGTCCTGTAGTAAGCTTTATTATTGCTAAGAATGGAATGGAATGGAAAAACGTCTTGAGTTCGGGATCATTACCTAGGTTCTGTGTCAATACTAGAAACTTGAAAAGTATTGAAGGATTCAAGTATCTATTTTATTTTATAATAATGGGGTAGTGGAGTGGTATGTATCATTAGCCATTGCAATCTATCATCCTAGTCAAAACTCCATTTATGAAAGATATTGCAAAGCTCTTTTGGTAGGTCATACATTTGAAATAAATAAATTTACATATAAATGAAATTGTGCAGTTTTTTGAAAGCCGATTGTCATTTGTCTATCAAACTGTACCAGATATGTAAGTGTAAAAGAGGAGAGAAAAAGTGATAAAATGAATGATTGAGTTTTGTTTTGTTTTTGAGAGGGGGTTGTTATGTTGATCTTGCTATCCATAAATGCTTGCGCTCAAGGAATCCTCACGCCAGGCCCGCCTTACATGGGACTATAGGTGTTTGCTGGTACAATTAGCAGTGGTTATTTTTGTCTAGATAATAGATAAGTTTTTATTTTTCTTTTTTTAAAAAAATATTTATTTATTTTTAGTTGTAGTTGGGTACAATACCTTTATTTATTCATTTTTATGTGGTGCTGAGAATCGAACCCAGGGCCTCACACATGATAGGTGAGTGCTGTATCACTGAGCCACAATCCCAGCCCCTAAGTTTTTCCTAAGATTCAACATTTTGTTTTTATAAGAAGGCATTTAGATTTCTGTATAATTAAATTTAGTTAGTTTTCAAAGTACAAATTCAGGCCTTAACACTTAAAGTAATTCATTTTTCTGTTTGCTTTTAAGTCTTGGAGTAGAACCAGTGGATAAAGATGTCATTCGTAAACCTCCTCGCAACTGGAAGGACAGCATTTTGACTAAAAATTTGATACTTAAAATACTTGTTTCATCAGTAATTATTGTTTGTGGGACTTTATTTGTCTTCTGGCGTGAGGTATATTCACTGGATAAGTAGCTATATTATGCATTTTATATGATAGGATTCTTAGTTATTTTGGTGTGTTATGTAGAAAGCTGGTGAGTTAAGAGACCTTTTTGAAAAAGTATGATAAAAGCATTTTAAGATTTGATTTCATTCTCTGGCTTAATAAAATTGTTGGCTTAGGACTTGAAATCATTTAAATTTGCAGAGCCATATGACACAATAAAAGTTAATACATGCAAATTTGAGCAGTAAAAACTCTGAGCCTTTTATAGCTACTTTGTTGTAATTAAATAATAAATGTTTTAATACTCAATATATAGTTCATGAAAAGTTTTTTTTAACTTTTAATTATCTAGACTATAATTGTTCACTGGAAATTTAAGTAACTTGGATGTTTCACATCTTAGACTAAAGCTACTTATCATAATGGAAGGAATAACGTTTTGAAAGCATATATGGTCATTTGATTTAGCATTGACAGTCATTTTGTTTTTTTCCTCTTGACAGCTGCGAGACAATGTTATCACACCTCGAGACACAACAATGACGTTCACATGCTTTGTGTTTTTTGACATGTTTAATGCACTAAGTTCCAGATCTCAGGTATGCGTCATTGATCTTAGCTGATTGGCCCAACTGAGTAGAGCTTCTTTTCTTACTGAGTGAGGCAAGGAGATGGGCTTTTAGCTTTGCTTGGTTTTGTAGCCACAGATTACAGCCCCAGACACAGCCTTCTTATTAACTTGTGCCATTGGTGAACAATAAGGTTGAAGCATTTGGGGAGCTAAGCCTTACCTTTAACTCAAAGATCAAAGCAAATCACAGATGTGTGTCTTTCTTCCTTTCTCTTATATTTTGTAGCTATAGATAGATTCAGGTTAACATTATGTCAACATAGGACAAACCTCATAGACTCTGCTAAAATGATATGTCTCATATATGCAGTAAGGACAAGAACAATTTGATTGCCTCACTTTGTCAGTGAGTCTAAGTTTAGCATACTTAATTTTGCTTTCCTTTACAAGTCTTACAGTAGGTGTGATTGCTGCTTTTTGGTCTTAAAGTGTTTTAATAGAATATAATAGGTTAGAACCTTAAGGATACTTTTTTAGAGCATATTCTTCTTGAGAACTAGTTCTATTTGAGGCAATGACTATTTGTTTTAACTTAAAGCACTTTATATATCCTTAACTGTATCTGTTACTATTTGCCGTACTAGAACTTTGTAAGAATGGTGGATTGTCACTAATTTTGAGACTGTTATGAATAAGCCTTAGTATTTGTGTTTTTGTTTTATGAAAGACAGTTTTACTTTTTCTGTATATACATTACTAGGTCCATTCTTCAAGATTTTACATTATCTTCTGCAGTGAATGGATAGGAAAGACTTAGCAAAATATAAATTTTATTAGTGCTTTGGGATGCTGAAGTAAGTTTCCTTTCTTTTTATGGTCTCATTTATATAGTCTCACTCTTTTTAAGCAAGCCTTTTTTTGATAAATAAAAAGTTTGCTGTAAAATTTACCTTTCTTCTCTCTGAATTATTCCAAAGTAATAAATAGAATTAAGAGATTTTTTTTTTTGGTATTGGTAACATAGAATTCATAGGTAATAAATGATACTAATTATTAAAAATTGAAATTAAGTATGAAAATAAACAAATTATTTGTATGAACAAAGAGTAATAATTGAACTGTCTGCTTTTCCAACAGACCAAATCTGTGTTTGAGATTGGACTCTGCAGTAATAAAATGTTTTGCTATGCAGTTCTTGGATCCATTATGGGACAATTACTAGTTATTTACTTCCCTCCACTTCAGAAGGTTTTTCAGACGGAGAGCCTAAGTATACTGGGTAAAAGATGTTATCTTTATATATTTTAGGTGAATTATATTTTACAATGTTTGTGCTAATAATTCTTTTAAGATAGTGAAATGTGAAAGATAACTGACATGACCTGGAAAAAGAGTGCTTCTTTTTTTCATTTGGGGAAGTTCAAGGGAGTTATTCTCCTAACTCTAGGGATAAATTTGCATTTTTTCCTTTTAATTTGTGGTAATGCAGGTTAAACCCAGGGCTTTGAGCATTGCAGGCAAAAACTCTAATAACACTGAGCTACATCCTTTGGCCTTATTTTATTTCTAGATAGAATCTTGCTTAGTTGCCCAGGCTAGCCATGAACTTATGATCCTTTTGCCTAAGCCTCCTGAGTCGCTGGGATTACAGGTGTACACCACTGTGTCTGGCCTGTTTTTTTCTTTTTTACAGATTATTAATTGTTATAAAATCATATTTAATGATTCTGAAATACAGCAAACCAAAACATATTATAAATTAGTTAGCCAGGCACTATGGTGTACTCCTATAATCCCAGAGGCTCTGGAGGCTTAGGCAGGAGGATCACAAGTTCAAAGCCAGCCTCAACAATCTAGTGAAGGCCCTAAGCAACTTAGTGAGACCCTGTCTCCAAAAAAGAAAGGAGTGGGTGGGTGGAGTGGCTCAGGATGCGTCTCAGTAGTTAAGCAAATTCCTGGTATCCAAAAAAAATAATTGTAGTTTATAACTTTTTCCCATCTTATAAGAAGAAAGAACTAGATGTAATGTCAGTAAAAACAAATTGTTTTTGTTTAAAATTCTAATTTTTGATAACTGATCTTGTTATTTTTGTTCATTCTTATTTCATGAAATATCAGCTTGGTCCTGAAAGCATAAAGTTTTATAATTCTATGAATTACACTTATTTTTTCATATACCACGCATTAAACAGGAACTACAGAATGTTTAAAAAATTCATTTTCTTGAGACTGGGGTTGTGGCTTAGTGGTAGAGGCCTCTCCTGACACATGTATTTGATCCTTAGCACCACTAAAAATAAATAAAGTCATTTATCCATCTATAACTAAAAACAGATATTAAAATTTTTTTTAAAATTTATTTTCCTGGTCTGGAATTATTGCTTAGTGGTAGAGCACTTAACTAGCTTGTGTAAGGCACTGAGTTTGGTCCTCAATACCACATAAAAATAAATAAAATAAAGGTATTGTGTCCATCTACTAACTGAAAAAAATATTTTAAAAATTCATTTTTCTATGTAAGTTTGAGGAATAAAGAATATTTAATGGGAATGCTATCTTTAATTCTTGGGTTTTAAAGTTAATTTGAAAAGTTACAATATCTCATTTTATTTTTTGGTATAAGTTAACGTTTACTTTAAAATTGAACTTTTAAAATTTCATTATTTTAATTTCATATCCAAATTGCTTCCTTAAAAAACTGTTTTAAGCATTTTTAAAAGCAATTAAAAAGAATTGAGATAGTGTGGATACTGTTGGAATGGTCTTTTAGGCTTTGAAGTTGAACATATTTGCTGCAGAATATTTAATGTTCAGATAGGTATTTTCAGTCAAATTGGTTACTACTTCTTGAGTAGTAGTACTTTTTAAAAGGATGGTGAGGGTAATGATATTTTCTTCATGAAATAATTGTGAAAAATATATTTTTAAAACTGGTAAAATGCTAGAAAAATGTAAGCTGCTAGCCTTGTGACTCTACGTGTCAAAGATTTGTAAAACCCACCTTATTTTCTCTTGCAGATCTGTTGTTTCTTTTGGGTCTCACCTCTTCAGTGTGCATAGTGTCAGAAATTATAAAGAAGGTTGAAAGGAGCAGGGAAAAGATCCAGAAGCATGTTAGTTCGACATCGTCGTCTTTTCTTGAAGTATGATGCATATTGCATTCTTTTATTTGCAAACTAGGAATTGCAGTCTGAGGATCATTTAGAAGGGCAAGTTCAAGAGGATAATGAAGATTTGAGAACTTTTAAACTTTTCATTGACTAAAATGAACATTAATGTTAAAGACTTGATTTGAAACTTTATCCTGCTGGCAGTCCCAAATGAAATTATGCAACTTTGATAACATATTCCTTGATTTAAATTGGCTTTTGCAATTGAGTGAGATTTTATAAAGCATATGGGGCAGTAACTTAATTAAAAAAAAGAGGAAAAACATAAACCACCTTCTGCACTTAAACAAGTCTAACGTACAAATACACTATCTATCTTAGATAGATATAAATATTTTTTTTATTTTTAAATATTGTACTATTTATGGTGGTGGGGCTTTCTTACTAATACACAAATAAATTTAATCATTTCAAAAGGCATTCTATTTGATTTAGAAGTTGATTCCCAGGAGTGCCATATTTCAGCTACTGTATGTCCTTTTTCCTGCAACGTAAGCAGCTCAGATACCTTGTGCTACCGTTTTTTGTATTTCAGGTTTTTTGCACAGGATGTGACCACTGTCAGATCACTGTTCTTTTCTTTCTTTTTGTGATTGAAAAGCATATACTGCAATTTGAAGTAAATGTTTGCTTTTCTTAGTGTAAATGGTTGCTGCTTTGTTTTTTAAATTAAGGTGTAAGTCTTTGGTTTAGCAGAATTAATGCAAGGCTATAAAGTGGCATTCTGGTTACAGTAACAGTATCTATAGTTGAAATAGTCAAAAACATTTGAGAGTGGAATGAAATTTATAATGAATTTTATTAACATATCTCCTTTTTGAGTTAAATACAAATATATACTTTGTCAAATATCATCATCCTCTAAATATAAATCTAATTCAGCTGAATAACTGAATTTTATTATTTTTACTATTTTGTATGTGTATTTTTAAGTACATTTCTTAGGAAGTATAGACTACTATACTAAAAGAATAAAAAGTCCCAACCTGGTAAGTGGTTTATGAACCAGGGCATTCAGGGAAGATCCCGTGCTGGCTTGCTCTTCATACATCTTCTAGGCAGCTTCTTTGGCACAATCCTGAATCTGTCCCTTCTACTTCCACCATTGTTCTCTATCTTCTTTTTGTTTTACTGGCTTGCTAAAGAAACAGATGTATCTTCTTTGCATAATGCCATCAGATTTTATAAAAGCTTGATAGGTGTAACTAATTTTGTTTTGAATGTGTAGCAAATTTGGGCCAAAAATTCAAAACCAGATATCCATTCTCTTGTTGAATATTTCTCTGTATAAAGAGAAATGGCTTCAGATTCTTACAGGTTTAATTCTTCTTGAAGTTAGTGAATTCTGTATTTTGTAAACTGTCAGAATAAACCATTCTCAAGCTTTTATTCAATATTAAATTGCAAATGTTAGTTTTGAAATACTGTCATTGATAGGGAAAATATCCATTATTTGAGCCCTTAATACTGAAAAGTAAGCACGAGGAGATGAGTTGTCTGCATTCTTTTTCTTTACTCTTTCAGGCTGAATGTTCAAATGTATATTATTCTCTCTCATTAGCTGGAACATCAAAGCCATTGTTTAGTCAACTCTCTCTTTAGCGATTTGATATCGAATTGCTAAATTTTGTAATGATTTTTATTCTCTGTTACAAAGACAAAGTACATGTTAAGTGCACATCGTCTTTTGTTTTGCATTTTAGGTTCAGAATATGACATGTATCAAATTAATGTGCCAGTCTTTTCATTTGGATTTTGATCTATAAAAATAAAAGGATTTTATCATAAGTTAATCATCTCCTAATTAACACTGTTAGATATGGATATACTTCGATTTCAAAGGAAGTAAAATATATAGTGCAGATCCAAATTTTTTTTGTTATATGTTAATCTAAACTAGCATGCATGATTTAAATGTGTTAATATTGAAATTTTTAATTTTTACCCTATTTTCTAGTCCTAGAACTCTTAGAGTCTCTATTGATAAAATTTGATTATTTTTCATCGTTAGACTACTTTATGCAGTTTTTGACCCTGTAGTAACTAAACATCAGAGAAGAAAAGAATTTGAAATAGAAGTAATGTACTGATGAGGTAGATAATTCTCAAATGATAAAAACTGGCCACAAAAAAATAAGGCTGATCACATCTGTGCTGGGCATTGCATAGCCCAGAAATGAAACAAAAACGAAACTACACAACTCAAAGACTTTCCCCTCCAATTCAGCAGCATTAAACTAGCTGTACAGGGATGACATGTTTTTAATCTTTCATATCCACACATGGTATATCTGTTCAATTATAATTTTTTTCATCTCTTTCACATAGTGTATAAGTGAGCATTGGCCACGTGTAAAATAGTTTTTTTGCTGAAATGAATAGGTAATATACAATGAACATCATTTTTAAGTACCTTAATTAGGTTTACCCTTCTTTCTGCCTTTGTTGGTTGGCAGTTGATATGCAATTTACTTCCATATGTGATTCACCCAAGAAGTTAGGTGGATGAATTGATTATTTTTTTATGAAACATTTATTTAGTATCTGAGTCTACCAGGAATGGAGAAATAATGGCATCCCTGCTTGTCAGAAGGAAGACAAAGATAGTAGGTGGTAAAATTGATAACAAGCTATTTTAAGAAAGTTAATAGTGATCTCTGAATATTTATTTAAAAAGTATACATTCATTAAAATTAATACAGAACAGATGCACTAGAATTTTCTTTTGACATTGGCATTTGAGAATCTTTGAAGTGGTTTTTCAAAGCTCCTAAAATCTAAACAGTAGCTTATTTGCATATTAAAATATGGTATGGATAAATATTAATTCTAACTGGTATGTGTCTGAACAGATTATCCTGATTTGTTAAGCTTCCTTGATCTTATCATTTGATATGACTGTTGTCAGTGGAATTAGTCTATTTGGGTTAATAATTTGAATGAATTACTGGTGATAATTGTAGGCAGACATACTGTCATGGGGGTGTGCCTTGAGGAGTATTTATTTTGTCCCTGGCTCCACCCACCTCTCTCCTTCCTTCCTGGCTGCCCTGAGTGGAGGTGCCCTTTTGCCATGATTTTCTGCTTCACTCCAGGCCCAGAGCAGTGAGCATGGGTTAAACCTCTGAGACCGCAAGCCCAAATAAACCTTTCCTCCTCTAAGTTGTGTTGATAATACAAGTGGGACACAGGTCCATTTGAAATGTGAGATTTATAGTAGCCTTTTAGATTTCCCACTGGACATATTAGATGAGGTTTCTAAAGCAGAGAATCAAAGCCAGAGCAAATTATAAGCTAGTAGAAAAACAATTTCCCTTTAAAATCCTCCCCCCCACACTTTGATTTTTGCTAAAATTAAAGCACTAAATGAGAGTATACTCAGCTTTGGCAGAGTAAGAATTTTTTTTTTTTTTTTAAGTTCCTTTAACATAGTGATTACTTAATCAGCAAACAGTTGTCTAAACTCACTGCAAGGGGCAAAGATAAGCACATTGAAGTCTTCTTTGTTATAGAGCTTTACAAATGAGTCTGTTTTTAAGGTTATAAGTTGGAAAACACTGATGTAAATAATTGGTTGCACATCATTTTGGTATTTGCAGTAAAACATCTAAAGTGCATATTGTAGGTATGTTGAAGAACTGCATAACTTAGAATCGAGTTTACTGTTCAGTGAGCATTACGTTAGAAAATATCTGCTTGCTCCAAACAAGTAATTGTGGTAGAATAGTAGAAAACAATGTCTTTTGGTGCCTTTTCCATCTTACTCATAACTATTTGGATCTTTCTAGCCTCATATCCCATTCAATGAGCCGAGACAATCTACTTCTAGATCTTTGGGTGCAGAATTTCTTACTTCTTGAAATTCTTGCCTCAATTTTGAGAATCAAAATGGTTTGTATTTTGTGCTAGGGATTGAACCCAAAGCTTCATGCATGCTAGGCAAGCAGTCTACCACTAAGCTACATCCTCAGCCAAAAATCAGAATTTTTACCTATATTTCAAATCCTAGTTGAAAGGCCAACCAAGATGGTCTTTTCAGATTGCTTGAAAGGGAGTAGTCGTCTATATGTGTGTGTGTCATAGTACAATTCCTTGTAAATAATATTAACAAGGCAGCCTTAAAATTGAGCATAAAAAATGTGAGTTTTTATTTTTTAGAAAACATTAAAAATATAAGTCCAAGCCACTTTGTTGATAAAGCTAGACAGAAATTTGGTAAAATTGTCTTTTTTTTTTTTTTTTTAAATTAAAGATAAAGTTAAGTGTTGAAGTTGGGGCAGAAAAGTAGAAACAAGTATTTTGAGCCATTTTGATTCTTTGAAATTATTTCTTAAATCCATCATTGGGCACATATGCCTGAGTGTATATGATGTGTTAGTAATGGCCTTTATTTGTACAACGGCTCCAGATAGTGACTTTTGTATTCTTAAGCCATTTTGCTCAATTCTAGCCAAATTGACCAATGTTCTTACTGACCCATGATTTTGTAATGGCTCCATAGTTGTTAGATCTGGCAGAATTTCCATTCATATCTAACCCACAGTTGCCCCATCACCAGTATTTCTTAAGCAGTTAATAGTATTGTTGAATAATATAATCTTGTGCATAGAAACCATGTTTCACAGTATTGTGAGCACTGGTGCTGGAAATTGGGCAGATGGTGTGCATGTATACCAAAAATCCATTTTTGGACTCTGTATTTCTAGCTTTTGAACTCAATACGTGCTTTTTATAAAAAATAGTTGTAAGTGGACACAGCACATTTATTTATTTATCTATCCATTTGTTTGTTTGTTTATTTATTTATTTATATGTGGTGCTGAAGATTGAGCTCAGTGCCTCGCACGTGCTAGGCAAGAACTCTACCACTGAGCCACAACCCCAGTTCCTCAATATGTGCTTTTAAATAATTTTTTTTAAAGTACAGATCTATTCAACCATGTTAAAGGTAATTATCTATTAAAATCTTCTGT